GAATCCCTGCAGTCACGAAAGCTTTAAATCAAAATTTTAGTTTTGTTAACTTTGATTACTTTTACGTCTAGACTGAAACTCGTGCCGTCCGCTCGTCTTGCTCGTGGCGCTGCGTGTTGCTCTCTCCTCTCCTAGCCAAGTTGCGCGTTCCCCTGCCCTGACCTCCATCCTTCCCTTCTACCCAAGTGTTGGGTTTTTTTTTCTTCTTCTTCTTCTTCTCCGCCTTTTCCTCAATGCGTCTTGAAATGCCATTAAATTTAAACGGCCCGCACAAAAGCAAATCGTACAGACGGACATTTCGCCGCTTCAGCAGCAGCTCCCATAATAATAAACTAAAAACTCATTGCCGCTCCACTAGAGGGAGCCATGGAGAGCCCCTCTTGGGGGTATTTGTTACTCAGCTGGGGTTGATCTCGGGGGAGAGGGGAGAGAGATTTAATCTTATACCGTGTTTTATTAAAAAATATATATATTTTAAATATAAATATTCCTACTCTTTGGTTTTAACGGTAAAGTCACGTAGGTAAAAAAATAAAATAAATGAAAACAACTAAATTAAATCACGACGTATCGGGCGCAACACAAGCGTCCTTCTTCAGGTGGGGACATTGAAATTTTTTAAAATCACACGAGCGATCAGTTGCGCAACCAAATTTTATCTCGAAATCGTCGTGCAACTTTATCATGGCCAACTCGTTTATTGTTTATCGACTTTTTTTGCAGAAATGAAATCAAGTATCAAGACGATCACAGCTTTTCAGCTTCACACAACATGGTTGCGTTCAACTGGTTGCGTGCAACTGGTTGCGTGCAACTTGAAATAAATAAATAAAATGTTTTGCTGTGGTTATTCACACCTGATGGCGATTGCTTGTGTTGCAATCGAAACGTCGTGAGAATTTTATTGTTTTATTTTCATTTTATTATTTCCCTTCTACGTGACTTTACCGAAAGAACCAAGAATAAGTGCATACTAATAATACTCACTCCCATTGTTTAAAATGCCGCACCGGGAGATCGAAACTCACAATGCGCCTCTGTATTGCAAATATACAACGAGCCAGCCGTTGTTATTATTCTTCTTCCATAAATTCGTTTATTCTACGCTTTTATTTAACTCACTCTGTTGTTGTATCCTCAAATCTTGTAACTCAATTTTAACCCACTTCCCAATGTGGTATCGACTGCAAACTTGGTATACTTATGTCATACTGATGACAATACTATATTCTATCATAAAAAAAATTATATTTCTAAACATTTTTTTTAATGTTATGTTTCGGCTTGGGTCTAATTGACCACGGTGCCTTACGTTATGGCAAGCTTCGGGGCCACTTCCTCAAGTCGTGGAGTTCTTCCATTACTAGTACGGTACATTTCATTAAAGCGTGTTTAAAAAAAAAGTTTTTTTTAATATATATTACTTATTAGGGTTAGATCGCGTAAATATAAATGTGTCGTGAAACCCGCCACCACCCGACGGCCAATTAGTAATGGTCTCAGTCACGTAAACAGAACATGCCAATTCGTTATTAGTACATCAACAACCGGTGCGTTGGACAGCAAATCCACAACATTTACAATTATCATTATTAACCTTCAACCAAGCGGTGGCTGCCGTTGAATACACACGAGTTTTAAAGCCACGTCTGCAAGCTCCTCAGGCTATTGACGGGCGTCTGTAGGTAATGAGTAACCGAGGTTGTGTATTCAGTCTCGCACGAGGTTGATGGGTTTCGTCATAGGGGCTCGTAATGAAACTAAACGCCCTCCATTTGCCTCCCCCGCGTCCCGTAAAGTTAAAGTAAATACGTATTACAAATATACACCAGGCACAAGGTCGACAAAAACTTAAAGGTGATGTAATTGCATTTAAGGGTTAAGCGTAGTCTGGGAAGTGAGCCCGCTTTTGATTGTAGAGTTACATAATGGCAGCGTTTGCCTGGGACTAAAAGTATTTTTTTAAACCATTTTAGAAAGTTTTAAAACTTGAGTGTGACCGTCCGAGGCATTACTGAAGGGGGTGTTGTTAGCTGCAAGAGAAAGAGCATTGTGTTGTATTCATTACACCTCTCCCGGCCCGTGTGCTGTGAAGAAAGATCATTGCCCCAAAAAACGTGACCTACTTATTTTCCACTTTTGATAAAGGAACGTGAAAAAGTAAACAGTTTTTTTTAAAACTGGGTTATTCGGTGGCATGAATAGATTGATGCTTGGCATTATCACCGAGATACAGAAAGGAAAACGCAAATTAGAAAAAAATGAGCAGGTTCATTACATCATTCAAAATCATAATATATATTCATACTGGAGGGATCCCGTGACCAATACGCCTCTTTGACGCACATGTTCAGCATTTTAAGTCGGTCAATAAAAACGGTACATTGTATTTAACCACAAGATAAAAATGCGGGCTTGGCTAAGACACGTCACGGCTACAAGAGACGATGGGCTAAATAGATAAATGAGAGAAGGCACCCAAGATACATCGTCTACGATGGAGATGGAGTGATGAAATCGTGGCAGGCGCCAGATGGATTGTGACATCGCATGGCATGGGGGTAGGGTTGGGGGGAGGGCCTGAATTCTGAATTAATCCAGCAGTGGATTGATCATGGCTCATGATGAAGTTTAAATTATTTGCGTGTCGACGTTTGCATCACGTTCTTCATCAATCACGCCGGGTCAACAATAGAAAATCTGTAAACCCATAAGTTTTTCAGGTCCATACGGTCAAAAAAACAAAAACAAAAAATTTTGTGTCTTATTTGTTTGTGTTTCTCTCTTGTGATGGGACTGGAGGATGAACGTTGAGATTTATAAGGGCACGGGGTGACCAATAAGATCTGAATTGGTCTGTAATAAGGTTGGCAACTGATTAGGGGTTGGTATGCAATAGGGATTGACTCGGAGAACGTTTCGAGCCATGGCCATTCTTGAGAAGTGGCGAAGCGTGGAACAACAATAAGAAGGCATTTTCTTGGTTCTTTCGGTAAAGTCACTTTGAAGGGAAATAATAAAGTAATAAAAAATAAAACGTAATAAAAATTATCACGACGTTTCTATTGCAACACAAGCAATCATTATCCGATGTGAAAACTACAACAATAATATTTTTGGCTGTAGTTTTCACACCTGATGATGATTGCTTGTGTTGCAATCGAAACGTGAAAATTTTAATGTTTGATTTGTATTACTTTATTTGCCTTCTACGTGACTTTACCGAAAGAACGAAGAATATGAATCCCTGCAGTCACGAAAGCTTTAAATCGAAACAAGAAGGCATTTCAGGACACGTCTAGGGCGCACCTTACACGTGAACAGACTCGTGGGTGTTAATAATCGATCCCTGGGTGCAATGCTTACAACCACTGCAGAACATTAAACCCCCCTAACGAGTCCATGGAATAGTCGCAATCTGTCGAGACTCCCACGCAACAGCAACAGCAAATTGTTGATTCGACCTCGTGCCTGAGATTGGTGGAAATTCCTACATGGGGACATCTGATTAAGGGGTGACTTTAAATGTTTAATCCATGCTCCACGACTATATGGATTGAACAGGAGGACACAACGAAGAAGAAGACTCCTTTGACCACACCTGAGTTAAAAACACCGGGGTTTTAAAAATACGTTCTAAATAAACATTATTTGTAAATGATCGTGAACATTAATTACGCAATGATTAACCGTCCCAATTAGAAGCAAATAACCTATTAGTATACCATGTTTGTGTGTCAGTGCCCCACCTTATTATAGGCCAATTCAGACCTTATTGGTCACCCCGTGGCTCTTATCAGTCTCAACGTTCACCCTATAAAGTTCCATCACAAGGGAGAGACACAAATAGACGACGTCTTTGAAACGTCTAAGCTTAAAAAGTGCGGGTTTGTGACAGCTATGAGTGATTGTGCCACGGGTCCAGTTGTTATCCCTTTCCCCTATTGTCCGTGCTATTGGGGTTGCGCTCTTATACGCGAAGCTTTGTTGTTGATGTTGTTGTTGTAACCATCTCGTGCGTTGTGCCACAACACGGATCGTCTTCTCTGCCCGTTTGTTATCCCTCTCGTTCCTAGGAACAAGAGGCAATCGGGGGAGACAATTTGCATAAAGTTTTGGGTGGATCGATCATAAATCCAATCACGCGCGCGATTCAGATGAATGTTATCGTGCTGGATAGGAATCGATTTAATATGTGGGGGCCAATCGGATCGATGAATCGATACACGAAGCAATGGCGCGTGATCCGCCGCCGCCGGTTTGCGTTCTGCGAGGAGGAAAGGGGGTGGGGGGGGGTGTTCCACGCGGCGTCGGGACTACTTTCTTCCCCCCCACCCCCCACATCCCCCCTCCCCCTTCTCTTCCACCCTCCCCTCAACTTCCGGTTGGGCTGTTAATTATTTATGTAAATTAGCTTCGGCTCCGCCTCTTCCGCACCAAGAGGCCCCTCCCTCCCTCCCCCCCACAACGAACCTCGTCCGCTCGCTCCGACTCGGAAACTCCAACAACAACAACGACAACAACAACAATTCCTATTAGCAACGAAACTCACGCGCGTTCGTCGAGATGTGCTCGCGAAAGAGAAGGGCCATTGCTGATGGCCACGAGAACCTCTTCCTCCTCCTCCTCGTGCTGCTGTCAGCAGCGCGAGCCTTCGACAACTTGACGTGGCGACCTCAAAGTGCACCCAGCCTGGCACAGTCGCCGTGGTGAGGTCACGGTCACTTAGTGGCGAATTGGCGGGGTTATTGGTATCGGAATCCCCCCCCCCCCTTCTCCCCCCAAACGTCGCCTATTATGGATTTAGTTTTTATTTTATAGGCACTGTTATTGAATTATATATCTTTTGTTTTGTTAATTGTGCTTGTGCACCACTGCCGACGGCCGCGTCACCAAATAATTTCGGAAACAACACATAAATGTGTGTATAAATGCAATGTATTGCAAACATTAATTGGCGACGTTTCGGGCACTGCCCCCCCCTCCCCTGCATTAAACCACGCCCCTCTATATCAGACCACGCCCCTTACCGCGAGACTCGGCCTCTCATTGGCTCAGATCCCACCCCCCAAAATCCCGTCAGGGGGCTCCCCCCCCCTCTCTCCGCCCTGCGACCCGGAAGCGAGTGAGCAGAACGGAACACGTGTTCGGGCTGAGGTCAGGTGGCCGCTAAACACGTGAGCGCACACTGAGGATGCGTTTTCTCGCACACAGAGAGAGACACACACACGGAACTAAAATAACTTACTAAGGGCCGGTGGGGGTTTAGCGTCGATAGGAGGGTTTGCTCGGTAGAGGTAGAGCTCGCGTTTTTTTGGTTGATTCGCGTGCACTGCCCACACAAACTGCGTTTGCCCCCCACCCCTTTCCTCCCTCCGTCCTCCTCGTCCCGTCAGTACCGGACGGACGTTTTCAAGTTGTTGACCACCGAAATTTCGGAATTGGATGCACGCGGCGTCACCGGTCCTACAGCAAGGTCACCGAGGACTCCTTGGGCTGCCCAGAGTTTGCACAGCGCCGCCCTTAAACGCGGCACTTGTGAAGTAAGTTACGAATGAGACTTACCTGTGTCTTCTCGCGTGTTCGCACCGTTTCTCGTGATGTCATCTTTATCATCGGCTAATTTATGTCCACCGCTGGATGAAGCCTCCTCTCCCTCCACGTTGTTGTAATCTATCACATTCCCGCAATGCCACAATGCACCTCGCTCGCATTTCCCACCATGGTTGGCTGGCGTCCTGACACCAGTCTCATGTCCACCTGCTGTATCCCATCCTTGATCATTTCCCCGCCCAATGTCACGTTTCGTAAGTCAAATGTTTCTCGTTTGCGTTTTGTTCTCTGATGCATGTGTTCATCTGCCGGACTCGTAGTGGACAAATCGTGACAAACCTTTCTAAAGTGGGTGTGTCGGGTGGTGGCGGGTTTAACGACACATTTACGCGGTCTAACCCAAAGAAACCTATATTATGAATTGTGACTATATAATTATTGGCATCTTCATCCTTGTCAGGGATCATGCATAGTCAATGCTTACGTCTGCCTTGTGCCTCGTGGGCTTTAAGTGAACAAGCCCTCCCTGACCACTGGGCACAGATTGCAGGGCATGATGGGAAGACTGAAGTAATGTTCACAATCGCGTCCTTTGCAACCTAAAATCACCTTCTGCATGTATTGTACATTATTGTGACTCTTGTGTCCAGCCTGCATCCACATTTCTTTCTCGTCAGTGTTTCATGTTTTTACAGAGTTAGACTTGGTTTGTGAAAACCCTTTGACTAATCCGATTCATGTGCACTCTTGTTAACCTCCGTAAGTGTCAGAGATGCTTCTGAAAGGAGCAAATCGTCTGCGCTGCTTGAATCGTCACGCGAGAGCCCGTGGAGCCACGTGGAAGCACTCTGTAGGAGAGGTGGGATGGCCGTCTCGTGCCCATTACTGCAGCTCTGGACACGAAGGAGTGGAGAGCACCCCCGAGTTCGACGTGATCGTGGTGGGAGGGGGCCACGCGGGGAGCGAGGCGGCAGCGGCTGCAGCGCGCACGGGGGCCCGGACGCTGCTCGTCACGCACAAGTTCGACACCGTCGGTGAGCACGGCAGAGGCGTCGAGAGCGCCCCCGAGCGCGTTCAGAAATCGGAATCCTCGGCAGCATTAGAATTGAACTTGGTAAAATCACCAATCTACATTGTCATCGTGTAATCGGCATCGTTGGCACTGTCATCACCGTAACAGAAGTTTTCACCTTTTCTTCTCTCATCTGAATACCCGTGTCACTCAAGGTGACATCTCAACCTGCTCTTTGGGTTGACTTTTCAGTGTTGGCAGCTATGTAGTGATAAGTTTCATAACTTTACCACTAATGTTGCTGTGCGCTACTTTCACCATCATTCTATTCCATTACCAGGTGGTCACACTCTGTCTCTGCTTGTGTTCTCTCATCGCCGATCTCTGCCCTCCCCCGCTCACCTTCCCTGGCACGGTTACGGAGCAGGCGAGATGTCGTGTAACCCTTCGTTTGGCGGCATCGGCAAGGGCCATCTAATGCGCGAGGTGGATGCCCTGGACGGGCTGTGTGGGCGCTTGTGCGACCTCTCGGGCGTGCACTACCACGTGCTCAACCGCCGCAAGGGCGCCGCTGTGTGGGGACTTCGAGCGCAAATCGACCGCACGTTGTACAAGCAAAACATGCAGGTGCCGCTGCTCCTCCTGAAACCCACCACCGCACACTCTAGCTCTCTAGACCATTTGGGTGAGTGCACAATTTTGGACGTATATGTCATTGTTTCAGGCACCTTGTATAATTTTTTTAAGATGTCAAAAGATGCGGGAAATTCCCCGTGATTGACTAATTCGTGGAGTTTTCCGATTGAAATTTCATTATTTTACCTGGGGCATTGTGTTGATTCATAGAATGAGAATCTTTATTTATCCTGGAGAAATCCGATGAGCTACGAAGCTCTTTTTCTATGTAAGAAGCCCTGTGTACAATGCACCTGTGACCATTGCCTTTGGACCCCTGGACTGGAACTCAGGAGGAGATCTTGAGGACGCCGAACCTGACGGTGCGGACGGCAGCTGTGGAGGACCTGATCGTCGATGAGCCCGCGGTGACGCAAGTGGGGAAGTGTCGTGTGCGCGGAGTTATTCTGGGTATGTCTCAGACTCTCGCTGTACACCCATCACAGTCCGGCTTATCCTTCTTAGCTTGTGAGTTGAAGCCATTTACCCCAACCTCAGCTGTGTACGCAACCTGACATGTACCGTTACCTAGTTAATGATGTGGTCCGTGTGACCCTTGTTCTGAATTACTGTTACATAGCTAAATCCATAATTATTAGGCATGTAGTGATGCATCGATTCATGAATTAATAACATTTCTTATACTCACTGTAAATGCATCAAATTGAGTGTGTGATAATCTTGACTTAAAGCTTTTGTGATTGCAGGCATTCATATTCTTGGGTCTTTCGGTAAAGCCATGTAGATAGATCAAATAATACAAAATAATAACAATATCACGACATTTCGATCGCAGCAGCTCTCCCGCAATATTTCTCACCTGATGACGATTGCTGGTGTTGCGATCGAAACATCATGAAATTGTTATTTTTTTTTATTATTTGATCTATCTACGTGGCTTTACCAAAAGTCCCAAGAATATGTGTGATAATCGTTATTTACCACCTGTGTGAATTATGTGAAATGTAAATGCTAATGTTATATTGAAACTAGGGTAACCACCAACATTATACAATTGAGACAGAAAAGACGAAGCCAAATTATACGTTCCTCAATCGCAAAACATGAATCATGACAATTCGTCTCAATTGCTTGGCGTGTGAATTATTCATGCCTTCCAATTCAGATTTGTATTTAAATAAACACTTGCCTCATCGCTCTCATGCCTGACCATGATGTCTGAACGTTTTAACCTCTCTCCCAGTCGCTGACCCCCTGGCAGAGGTCGCAATCGGGTACCCGATACCCATACCCTACCCGATACTCGGCTACCCGTACCCGGCCGGGTACGGGTACCCGTTTGCGACCCTGATGCGGCCGGGTACGGGTAGGCCGTGAGTCACTGGTGAGTAACCGTTTGTCACTCATTTCGGGTAGGGTACGGGTACGAGTAGGGAACGGGTACTCGTACCCGGCCGGGTACGGGTACCCATTTGCGACCCTGGTGCGGCCGGGTCCGGGTAAGGAATCAAAACCCGTTTGCGACCTCTGCCCCCTGGACGTGTGCGTGTGGCCGCTAGGGAGCGGCGAGCGGGTGGAGGGGCACGGCGTGGTGATCACCGCGGGCACGTTCCTGCGCGGGGTCGTGGGCATCGGCACGGAGACGTGGCCGGCGGGGCGCGCGGGCGACGGCCCCGCCGTGGGGCTGGCTCGGACGCTCGAGGAGCTCGGCTTCACCGTTGGGAGACTCAAAACGGGTGAGGCTGGCCGGCGGTACCGCTGCAGGTTTTCCCGGTCGTGATATACAGCTTTCCGATGTTGTTATTTGGGGTTGTAGCGCGTACTGTCGGGCACGCTGTTTCACTTTTTCACTCCACGTGCCGTGAGCTTCTCCGCGGACAGAGAAGTTCCCAACACTAAACGTGAGACGTCATGCAGAAAAAAACATAAACCCGCAGACATAAATTAGAGTAATACTACTAATACAGGTAGTCCTCTACTTACGATGGAGATGCGTTATGACGACCTATCGTAAGTCGAAGATGGCCTCGCCTACCCAGGAGTCTTAAAGAATGGTGATAATTTAGCAAAACAAAGCAATTTACAGTACCGTACTGTATAAACTATATTCTGTGTGTATTTATTAATTACAATACTGTATTGCACAGTAAAATGTAAAGTAAAAAAAACAAGGTAAATTCTTAGCCTACCTATATGAACTGCAATTTAATAGAAAGTTTTTTCAGGAAACAATCCTATCTGCTATAAAAACTTTTAACATGCATTGAACGTATCGTATCGTGGTAACCTTAAAATGAAATCGCTAAAGCTACGTATCATAAATGCATTGAACATATCGTAACGTATCATATTGTACTGTACTCGCCAAGATTCTGTCCGTCGTCTGCATACTTGAACGATGTTAGGTTGTTGATGGCAATTTTGTCGTATCGCTATCGTAAGATCGAAATATCGTGAGTCGGACCATCGTAACTCGGGGACTACCTATACACGTAAAATATTATTTCTGGACAGGTACTGTCATGACCGTATACGTTCGGTCCTCCCAGAAATATCTTGCACATCTCCTGCCGTCACCATGACATCACCGGTCTTCGTGGATTTAAAACGGATGAGTTCCGGTGGGCTTGCTGCTGCTACCCGGCACACAATCGACCATTGGGGGTGGCGGTCATCTCCATTGGTGGCACTGAGCTAGGGGTGGAAATTCCACATTCCTAGGGTCACGGTTATATGAAATTATAGGTTGCATTTAAAGCACACTCTCCGTTCTTGCGCTGAAGGCACAAGAAGCTCGTGTTGAGTAATGTGGTCACCGTCGGTACTCGGTAACGTGCCTATTTCATGTTTCAGGAACGCCACCACGGATCGCCAAAGATTCTGTGAATTTCGCCGATCTTCAGAAACAGTTTCCGGACAACCCTCCGGTTCCATTCAGCTTCATGAATGAGAAAGTGTGGATCAAGGTAGCCTCATTCGTTCTCCTTTGCTCGCTGTTGGCACAGACCTACTTCACTACAGTGATCCCTGGCACACTCAGTCCTGAATTAAGATTATTGTATAGAGGAATATTATACACTTTTTACAGTATATCACATTTTGATATCCAGTTGAGAGCTTCAGGAGATACCAATTGAATCACAGAGATCCGGGGGAGTGAGAAACGGTGGACAGATGTTCACTGGATGTTCCGTCATTTGAAGTTGTTCACCACATTCACACTGTGGGGTGTACTCGAGTCTCCATGTGTCCGTAAGTTATCCGCAGCATCCTTGTGATGTGCTCATGTGGTTCATTGACCATCCGCTCTCACCAAGGGAGGGCATGCGAAGTCAGGAAGCTGTACCGTCAAAAATAGAGACCACCTCCCCTCGCGGGCCGTTCTCTAACATGAATCGAGCTGCACTTCAAGGGTTCCACATGGACAACTTTGCGTCTCAAGGAATAATAGCGAAAGCACAACAATTTAAATTATTAGGCAAAGGCTTGAAGTATGGAATGCTTTCCACTGAGCCCTTAAACTGCCCAGAGGCTGAGCCGTGTGTGTGTGTGCGTCTCCAGCCCGAGGAGCAGATGGTGTGTCACTTGACACATACGGGCCCGGAGGTGGAGCGGATGATACGGGACAATCTTCATCAGACCATGCACGTGGCGGAGACCACAATGGGGCCAAGGTGAGTTGTGCCAGTGCGACGTTTGCTCTTTACCACCGGCGACAATCAACAATGATTTGGTTATAAGTCCTCTATCACGGGAAATGTGGGAAACTGCAGCACCCTGAGTGTTGATAAGTAGTAGTTCAGTGATACCTACTTAAGTGAGCCATTCTCCAGCCAGAGCTCAAAGTGACCACTTTGTATTGATACACAATAACTGATACACAATAACTAAAGCACAATTGTAATAAAACTGGTAAGAGATGATATACGTAAATGTGCGTTCACCCAGACAGCTTATCGCTGGTTAAAAGTGAGTACGCATACGTGTGTGTCGGCGTGCGCGTCGCACTCGTGCTGACACGGCGCGTGCGCTGCGTTACTCAAGGTACTGCCCATCCATCGAGGCGAAGGTGCTGCGCTTCTCGGGGCGGAGGCACCAGGTATGGCTGGAGCCCGAGGGGCTGCACTCCGACATCATCTACCCGCAGGGCCTGTCCATGACGTTACCCGCCCCTCTACAGGAGCAGCTGCTGCGCACCATCCCCGGACTCGAGAACTGTCGCGTCTTGCGCCCAGGTCAGGGGCGCGACGCGGCGTGGAGGGGAGCGGTCCTCAAGATCGTGCGAGCACGATGTGGCTCGCACAACCTTCAAGACCGCGTTTCCTAACTAGGCCCGATTTTTATTTTGCATTCTTCACAGCGCATTGTGGCTGCACGGAGGAATGCTGGTATTCGTGTGTCACGTGTGAACGGGTGAACTGTGGTACGATAACAGGGAGGGGTGCTCTTGCTTTCCTTGCTCGACCGCCAGGCTACGGGGTGCAGTACGACTTCATGGACCCACGGCAGATCCGTCCAACCTTGGAAACGCGCCTCGTGCAGGGGCTGTTCTTCGCGGGGCAGATCAACGGCACCACGGGCTACGAGGAGGCAGCCGCGCAGGTTAGGGAGATCGAGGCAGGGGTCCCTGGGCAGCTCGGGTCACTAGGAACGACCAGTAACGACGTCTCGGGTTGCGGCTGTACCGTACGGCTCTCCGATATAATTTTGTCAGCTTTATCAAAGACTCAAAGAAGCAGCTCACATTCTCATTCCAATTTATAAAGTTGCCGGCTGCTGCCGGTGTTCGATGCAGGCCAGCCGACGTTGCCTGTCGGGATCGTCACTTGTGTTTTTTTTTTTCCCTTCCCTACGTCTGCCTGCAGGGAATAATAGCCGGCATAAACGCAGGCCTGAGGGCGACGGGGCGGCCGCCGTTCGTCGTGAGCCGCACGGAGGGCTACCTGGGCGTGCTCATCGATGACCTCACCACCATGGGCGCCAGCGAGCCCTACCGCATGTTCACCAGCCGCGCCGAGTTCCGGCTCTCGCTGCGGCCTGACAATGCAGACCAGCGCCTCACACCGAGAGGTGCGCGTGCCAATGATCGCACCGGCCGGGAATTCACTCGGCGACAATTTTAAGGCCCCGGGCTGAATATTGTGATGGGAAATAACACTAATATAATTATAAATGTATCCGTCTCAAGAACTGCCTTTCAGGAGGGTCCTGCATTAGGATTGTGTTACTGCCGTGGTTTATTGAGCTTTGAGTGTCACCCCCTAATTTGTGTGGTTTTCTTCACTTGTCCTCCCACACGAAACCACTAAATAATGGAGCGCACCAAAATTCCAATGCAGTACCCTCCTGAACGAAATAGTTTTAACGACCCCGGTGACCCTTTCCCGGGTCAACAAAAGGCACCGTTATATTTAGCGTCCCCTGCGATTACCGCTTTGCCACCAGCAGTCCCATGTATATGTTGAGTGTTGTCTCTGTACAAGCTGGGTGTTGGTGTGTATGCATTTGTGTACATCGTGCGTGTGTGTTTGATAGAAATAGAGGCGATGACAGAAATCGATGGAGGGACTGGTACTTGTAGCCCAACTACTCAGCAGCCTCTGTAAAAGCTGGACGGGAGAGAAGAAGATGTGTTTGTGTGTGCGAGTCTGCAGATTACACAGAGCGGTAGTGCACTGGTGAGCGTACGAAGCTACGAACCCAATGACCGTAGTTGGATTTCCGCTCACAGCCATTAAATCGGTGATGAAATATCTGAATTGATCCTGGGCCTCCCTTCGGTCGACTCAGCCTTAAATGAGTACCCAGTGCATGGTGTAAACACCACCAATGGGGAGACAAAGGCGGCCAGGTGCGGTGCGAGCCATACCGGCCTTCATTGGACTCCCTCACAGCCCTTGGCCCAACAGCCTGCTGCATGGATACACGGGGGATCTCTGTTGTGCAGGTTACACAGAGGCAGGCTGCGTGAGTGAGGAGCGTTACCGTCGCGCCCTCTCCGTCGGCAGGGAGCTCCAGGAGGGGCTCGACATCCTCCGAGACCACCGCCTCTCGACCTCCAAGTGGAATAAGGCGCTGCCGTCATGTGACATGAGCACCACGCGCAGTGACAGCCCCAGGCACGTGAGAGTCGCCGTGCGAATAAGTCATCGTATGAACCGTGTAAACAGATGGGAGCTTATGGAGATTAAAAAAGACAAAGATTGCCCGTGTAACCCATAAAGATTGTTGGGGTAAATGCTACGAGCCCCTATGAAAGCCATGACCACGCCCGGCCGCCTTCGTCTCCCCATTGCTGAAGTTTACACACCGCACCGGGTACTCGTGTAAAGCCTTGTCAATCTAGGGGAGGCCCAGGACCGGTTCAGATAAACACTTAATAATAGCCATGCCCAGGGAATCGAACTCCGTGCGCCGGGTTCACAGGGCAGCGTGCTAACCGCTACATAACCGCTCCCTGCACAAACGCATACCTATTAAAATCCAGTCTTGTATTCTGCTAGAGGCAGAATGTTTTTTTTTACATAATTAAATGTTTGTCGAAGCACAGGTAGTGGACGTCCAACGATGGAGTTGACACGCAAGCATACCCGGCGCGTTACCACCATCTCCGTGGAGAGAAGCCGGCGCCTGTGGTCCCACTGTGGGTTTTCTCTCCATCTTTGTGGTCGCAGTGCCCATCTCGTTCTGCAACAGCCAAATGTCACTCTGATGGACATAGCGGTCGTCTTCCCGGAAAACCTTGCCCGGTTCACCCACTCGCAGGAGGTGTGCGAGAGAATGAAGATTGAAGGTGACGAGTGGCTATTTGTTCCGTTGCACGTGGAGTTCGCTGCAGGCTGTTGATTTTGTGTGTCTGCAGCGTGATGTCATTTTGCCGTCCAACTCACTTTTCGAGGCAGACAGGATAGACATGTACGAGATGCTTCGTTTTATTGTTTTAACTTGAAAAAACAAGGCTCGCATAGACACGAGGTTACATTGGGCTCCGTGGCTTGCAATGTATTCACGAAGTGTGGAGTAGCCGTATCGTCAAGCAGTGGCATGTTACGCAGACAGTGCGGTACACCTAATTTCCCAGACCAGGAATGGGAAACCATTTCCTTGCCGAGGGCCAAATTGAACATACCTCTGGCGGGCAATCGAGTATTAACACCTACCTCCGTTATTTTCGTCAGTGCCAGAGGCCCTTGCAGTAACAAATAGACTGAGCATGCTAAAGTGTTGCCAAGTTGAAAATATCCCCCACCAGTTCCCGATTACTGCTAAGATGCTTGCAGTGACGGACAGTTTGTGGGTAGGCCTCAAGTGGCGATGGCCACTTGAAAGTAATTTGCAGGTCGTATCTGGCCCTTGAGGGATAGGTTCAGCACCCCTGGCCTAGACAATAACGATTCCTCACCGTCACCACCACCCCACCCGCCCGCCCCTGATCCTCCCCAGCCGTGTACTCCACACTCACCTCGAGGCAGCAGGATGAGATCGATGAGGTCCGTCGAGACGAAGCGTTGCAGCTCCCGGACGACCTGGACTATGAGCAGCTCAACATCTCGCTCTCGAGCGAGGTGCGAGAGAAGCTCGCGCTCGTCCGCCCGCCCACGGTGAGTCTTCGTCCAGCGCTCCACATTTTCCCAAATATTAAAAGTGCTCGCAAATTCTTGCATTGGGTAAATCCACAAAGTCGCAATGTCGCAACGAATGTGATACTGCTCTCGACGGTGGCTCGTGATGGCACCAATTGTTTGGTGTGGATCCTCACGGCGTTACTCTGCATGGTGTAGCGTGCAGCTGACCAGCACTGTGAAGGTTCGACCCTGCTTATGACGCCCGAGTTCTCATGAGATGGGGGCACATTCTGTGCGATTTGGTCCTTCGCGTCAGTGTGGCGTGCGTCGTTTTTATGCCATTGTCCTGGGCCGCAGATCGGAGCCGCCGGAAGGATTCCTGGCGTCACTCCCGCCGCCGTCATCAACCTCCTGCGCTTTGTGAGACAACGGCCGCATCACGGGCGGCCAGGGGTCGGAGGCCACAACTCCGATACGCGCGTCACACAGAGTGCGCTGGATTCCTATTGAAATGAGTCCCGCCACCACACACACAGACGCTGCGCTGCAATATGCAGCCGAGTGGAGGCTCAGCCATTGCGCATCCGACTGTGAATTATCCATCACCCAAAGAAGTGGGAATTGTCACGATTCGGGGTGGCATGTCAATTCACGATTCGTTTAATTTTTGTCTTGCTTTTAGTATCTCATTTGTATTGTTTCTTTGTAGTTTTTGTTTGTTCCTTTAACCACAACGTAAAGGGATGTCATATGAGCGTACTCTGCATTCGTTATAAACGATCACCAACTACACGCACAATTTGTGGTACGTATCGTGAGCCTAATAACCAATATTAGTCATCGAAGCATCGTTAGATCCCACGCCTCCGGCTTCTGTTAGCGACTGGCCGCTGCCACCAGTCGAATGTTTATCCAGGATCGGGCACGTGACGATGTGTAGCTCTGGTGAGGTCTTCTGCCGTGCATGACTGCGCCATGGTAATCACACTCATTATCATCATATATACCAGGTGTTAGGACTACTCTTACAGATATTATTCTTGATGCACAATGAACAGAAATGCTTACTTGGTCAGTAGCTGAATAACACATTCTTGCGGAGGGAGCTGGTAGGAACGTTGGGTTGCTCGGCCAATGGCCAGGGTCAACGGCGGCGTGGTGTATTCCGCAAATATGCCCGACTGTGAGGGCGGGCACAAGCCGGCGTGAGTAGGTTAAACGTTGATTTTTATAAGGGCACCACGGGGTAACCAGCCCCTCCCCACCCAGCCCCACCCCTCCCACTCCCCACCCTCCCCATTCAGTCCCTCCCCACCCTCCCCACCCAGCCCCTCCCTCCCCACCCCTCCCTCCCCACCCCTTCCCTGCACGACGGACGGACACAATAATCCCCTGTGGGCTGGTGGAACACGTGGTTTCCTACTAGTATAAGAACAGTTCTGATATACATCATTAGACCTCCTTTGCCAGTACAAAATATAATAGGGTTTTTCCTCTTTTTTTCTGGCAACAAAACTGAAACCTTTTTACAAGGATTCATGTCTGCATTAACCACAATACTTGCAGTCAAAATGCAAACAAAAATCACACTGATAACATATGCATTACTTTGATAGTGCATTGTCTTTGAGCTGTACGCCTTTTGGCGTCCTCTGGTCGAGCACCAATTGGGTCGAGGCTCAAAAGAAAGCCGTCCCTAGTGTGGACCAATCCGTTTCAAGGACAATGCATATATTATCATAGTGTTTTTTTTGCATTTTGACTGCAAGTATTGTGGTTAACGCAGACATGAATCCTTGTAAAAAGGTTTCAGTTTTCTTGCCAGAAAAAAGGGGAAAAAACCCTATTATAGCTCTGATATAAGCAACATCCTTACATTACACTGGTTGGGGGGGCAGGGGGAGCAAGTTTAAGGGCAACTTCTGATACAAAACGCGCTTTTGTTAAAATCCACACTGGCCTTATCCCCGAGTGCTGTGCGCATTGCGCGTCGAATGACAATCGCGGCACCGGCCTTTCTGTTGCCATTCTTTCTGCTAAGAAGGTACGGGACGGGGAAGAGTGTCGCTCGGTCGTGCTTTCAGTCGGGTGTCCTGGTCTCGTGACCTCGGCAAGGGCAACACCACCCTGTTTGGCGTCAGAGAGCGAGCCGACACATGCACGTCAGGTGCCGTTCGCTGAGAGCCTTGTTTATTTAAAGTTGCGGTGTTCTGGGTGGCTTTGGTTTTACTTGTGGCACGTGCGACGGTGAAACGACTCCGCTTCGCCTGTGGGGTGTTTTAAAGTGATGGATCGGCAGACCATGGAGATGTTAATCAGGTCTCTGAGCTGTGGATTTTACTGGAGGCAAAAGGGGGGGGGGGGGGAATTGTTGTCCTGAGAAGTTGGAATATTTGTCACACGCTTGCTTTCTGCAGTTTGAATGGATTGGATTTTTGACATCGATGGTGGTCCCGTTGAGCCAGTTGCCCGACTATTTTTACACGGGAGATCCGTGCTGTGATCACAGTAACAAATCAAATCGTAAAAACGTTGATATTGCAGAGAACGAGAAGAGGGTACCCTTAAGGGTTATTGCAGAGGCGAAGACTTGCGGCCTCCACTCATCTACCAGTAGCAACTTGATAAGTGTTAATGTACATAGTGTATGTTCTCTTAAGTTATTTTACAGTACTGTATTGTTCGTATTGAGAGATAGACTACACAAAGTATGGAAATAACTGATTAAAAGTTTCTTTTTCATAGTAAATATACAAGATTTATATGCTGTACACGTGTTTTTTGTGGCCGTTATTCCACTAATAATTATACAAAGTCTTCATCTTGCTGTATAAAACTTCGCACATGCCTTACCACAAAACTACCAAGCCCACACCTGGCCATTCGGTCAAACACACCTTAGAGAGAAGTTCAACATACAGGCAGGACAAGTCATGGCTATAAGGATATACCCTGTAAACATGGTAACTTTGGCCCAACATCGTATGATTAGCCAAGGGAATTTCCACCAAATAATGTAAAATAAAAATTTCCCACCAATTTTTAGCGTAAACTGCCCTGCCACCAGCACAGAGTTTAGCTATATCTATGCAGAACCGAGGTTAAGACTTTTTTAATTGTAACTCAAGAGAAACTCATCCTACTTGTCTGAACGTGAATTTGGTGGGACAACCCAGCTAATGGACGTGTAAAGATGACCGGTTGCAGGACAAATTACTTCAGCAAAATTTCAGTTTTGACTTCTGGCATATTCGCGTTGAGAGATAATCATGGGAATGGTTTAATACATGTATTTATTTTAATACATTTGCACAGAAACCATTATTTTACAAAATGGCAGAATACAACTTTACAATGCAGACAGAACTGACGTAGAACTCTTATTTTCAAGTCCAAAACAAACGCGCAACATTCCCCACGAGATTGAACCATAATTGTGATTTTAAAACAAGAAATCTCAATGAGATTTTTTTTTCGAAAACGTTAATTTAACAGGACGACAACGTTACAATCTATGGACGCATTTCTTTACACGTGACAACAGTTGCACAATTACGGTTTTCTATCTTTGGGAGTTTTTTTCCCCGACGCGGCAACGACACCTTCCGCAGAATGAGACAACTTTCGTTTCTTTCCCGTCGAATCTTTTTGGGCCGATCCGGAACTCTTCTGTCCATCTTTCCCCTTGGCCACCACCTCGTCGTTACCCGTTCCCTTCACAGCTTTCGTCTTCTTTTCTCCGCCCTGCTTCGAGGGCCCCGCTCCCTTTCCCTTGCTGGCTTCCTTCGGCGCTTCTCCGTTCTCTCCCGCCGCGTTCGACATGTTGACCTTCGGCTTCCTCTTCGGGGGTCTCCACTTTTTCTTCTTCTTCTCCTCGCCTTCCTGCGGTGGCTCCTGAGCAAGCCCCTCGCCCGCCGCTGCTGCTTTCTTTTTCTTATTTTCCGCCGCGCTCTCCTCGGCCGCGCCGCCCTTGGTCTTGCGCTTTTTGGATGGAGTGCCGGCAGCCTCTTCTCTCTCCGCCTGGGCAGCCAGCTCGATGGGCTCCGGTTTGCCCTTGCGGTTTTTGCGTTTCTTTGTCTCGGGCAGCTTTCCTCGCTTCTTCTGCCGGTTGGAAAGGGGCGGTGGCGCCTCCTCTCCCTCCGTCTTCTCCTCCCCTTCTACGGCCGGCTCGTCACCGGCGGCAGCGTTCTTCCTTTTTCGCCTTTTGTCCTTTTTTGGGCGTCTAAAGAACAGAGGGAAACGCAGCTTAGTAAAACAACGTGTTACGTGAAAAATTAGAATGAACGCGAGCGAGGCATGACGACAAACTGCCTTTATGGAGATGGAGGGAAAGCCAATTGCGTAGGAATTCACATTACGCTGGTCAAAACGTGCCTTGGCAAGTAACTTCGTTTTCAGTCGTATTTTTGCAATTAGAGACGCATCGGTGCACTGGGACAGGCACGAGATAGACCCCTCCCAGCCAGAGTTCACTGCGAGGTCGCGGCAAACTGTCGCAGTGCAGTGAGAATGTCGACGCGTGCTCCGGGACGGCGGCGACAAGCGTCCGTACGTACATGACTCCGAGCAGATGTAGCACCCTCCACAGGTTGTCCTCCACCTGCCGCGACTGGCCAATTCCCTCCACCTTGGCGAGGCCTTGCAGCGCCTCTGTCAGCGGAACCAACGTCACGTCCAAGTGCTGCACAAAAAACGGGGCAAGGGAGCAGACGGTCACGGACCTGCGCGGCAAGTGGCGTTACGTACACGCGCCAGACGCTCTCACGATGTCGGCAAACTCGCTTACCTGTTGGCCAGCAGTTCTGACCACGTAGGCTGCGAGTTCCATCGCGTGCACCACTTTATCCTTCGTAGTTTTCATCTTGAAATCGGTCATGTTCTCCAAGCTCTGCCAAGACGGGAGGGAAAGAAGGACGCGTCCAGTGGACCTCAGAATTACGTTACGCGAGCAATGGCACATTGGTGAGCGCAGTGTGCTATGAACCCGGCAACCTGAGTTCGATTCCCAGCCATGGTTCCACGGCTAATAACAGTGGCGAGTGATATCTGAACTGGTCCGGGGAACCTTCCCCTGCACCCCCCCCCCCCCACCTTCACTTCACCAGCTCACGCTGACCAGCGTGAAAAAGTACGGCCGATTAACCCCCATAACCAACACATTGTAGGGAAGGCGTTCATCCAGCAGTGATTATACAGGTAGGAACAACAGTTCCACACTGCCCACCAGGTATTATTTGTCTGTCTGTCGTGCATAGCCACGCCCTCGATTTGTATTTCATAGAGCGCTTCGGGCGGGCTCAGCACCACGTGACGCCCCGCCCCACGCAGCTTGCGCCGCGTGACACGGATCGCACAAATGCACTGTCCAACCAAGTTCCTTCCTGCCCACTCCGAAGGAACGTGTTTAAAACATCTCCGTGTGCTGGAAAAGAATACAAGCTGAAGGCAGCGCCTGTGTGCTCTCGCTGCTCACCTGGACAATCTGATCCATGATCTTCTGATAGAGCCGGGTCCTTTTCGACTCCTTCATCGAGTCCTTGAAGCCGGCGCACTGCTGGAGAGCTTTGAGCAGCAGCACGCACGCTTGGCCCTGTGTACACGCACACACGCGCACTCGTTTACCACCAGCTCGCATGACCCAGAAACATTGTACCTGTTCTTCGTGTATTTTATGGTGTTCTTATATTTGAAAACAAAGTTAAAGGATGACAAGCAGGCTGGCATTCGTGCGTACGTGTTTTCGTGCATTTACGTATTCGGTAATGATTCCACATTAATAGAAAATTGTTCAACGTTAAGAAGGGTTTATTTGTAACAGGTGAGAATCCATTGAGATCAGTCTCACAAACCATTAATTAGCCATGATACGCTGCCGTCTCTTATTCATATAGACCAGTGGTTCTTAACCCGGGGTGCATGCATCCCTTGGGGGTGTGAGATGCCCTTTCTGGGGGTGTGAGATATGCCAGATTTTTTTAGAAGGTAAATCATCGAACTACAAATTAAACATGGGCACATAAGTTCAACTACTTTGTTTCATTAAACCAATGTACTTATCAACACACATTTTTTACGATTGAAAACCAAAGGGGTGCATGCCTGCAGTAAAGTTTAAAATCCACAGGTATAGATGCTCGTGGCTGAGCAACTAATGTTAATTTTACCGATGTTCTAAAAGGATAAACTCTTAAAAGCTGTTACAAAATATAGTGAATAATATGCTTTTGAATTGAAAAAAGCTACACATTTCTAATGTAGGCCTCAGTAAGGTTTTGGCCCAGAGGTTGACTGTTTTTACTCAGGGAAGTCAACCAAAGTTCTAGCTCGTTTTAAGTCTCATACTAAACTTAAACAAGGTACATCCCCCTCGCCCCTCCATCATCGGTAAACCAAGTAATTCGCCTCCCATAAAGTGACACCAAAAACAACAAAAATCAGCAATCGGATGCTATGAAAACAAACTTGTTCCAACACTGCGGTGTAGCTGCGATCCTGGCTTTTAAACAAATCTGTTCCAAACTTAAAATGGCTGTGCTCCCCACAGGGCGCCCCCCCCCCTTACCTGCTGATGATCCTTGGCACCGTCATCGATGTACTTGACCAGCAGTTCGTGCAGCTTCAGTCCCATCGACTGGGCGGCAGAAACAAGATCGTTACAAGAGCGTCGCGCTGCGACGGACAACACGTCCGCTCGGCACGCACGCACAGGTGGGGAAGCAGTTGTCGCTTTATCAGCGGAGAGAGGACACGAGCTACGACCAATGACCTTTCTACTAAACGTCAGAAAAACGGGAAACGCTGGCAGATGCCCTTGTGATGCCAGAGCCAGTGCCACCGAGATGACAAAGGAAAGCAGCGCCGCTTCTCAGCTCTTAGTCCACTGGTGGATTCTGAGCCGACCCAACACGTTTACGTGCTTGACATTCTGGACAGATGCAGGTGGACACTGAAGTGTGTGTGGACAGTGCAGCAAGTGTGATCGGTTTCCTGTAGTTGTGAACATTGTCTACACCCTACGTGTTGTGATCAATGTATTTAGCCTCCAATCACTTCCTCACGATAGCGATTATCTCACAAACCCCTTTGTTTCTGGCACCTCGAGACGTACTGCATGCCAAGCGAAGTTGAAACAAATTACAGACGACGGTAAAAGATTGCCGGTGGTCTGGGTGCTCTCTACACAAGTGGTTGATGACTACAACACGGATGTACCATTTGGGTAAATAACTTTGTTCATCTACTGGGGGGCGTGGTAGAACCGTACCGGCAGGCGGTGCAAAAGATCGACAAACATCTTGGTGCTGTAGGAGCTGTTCCTGCGGGTCAGGAACTCTGCGAGTGCCGTGCGGTACACCTGCACCACGCGATCCGCATCCACGAAGCTCTCCTTGTCCGTCTGCGGTGGATTGACACGAGGGATGGACACGTGGTAATGTTGAATGACACCATAAAACAACTTCACAAACTATCGTCTGCCATTCACACTCTGGCACAACCACAGTTGCACAAACACACAAGACTGCCACTCACAACACAGCCACAGTTGCACACACACACACACACGACTGCCACTCACAACACTGACACAGACCAAGTCGCACACACGAGAGACGAAAGTGTCAGCAGCCATCTTCAGTCACGATGGACAGCGACAACAAGCACCGGTAACAAAGCCGCAGTATGTGCAGGTGTACATAGGATGCGAAGCGAAACAAAAAGCCTACCTCCATCTCTTCCTCGTTCTTCTCAGCGTCGTCACCGACGCTGGATGCGCCGCTCAGCAGCACGCGCAGGCAGTACAGCGAGCCGCTGCACACGGTGACATCGCCGCGGCAACGTCAATATTCACGGAAAGGGATTCACCTCGACCGACGAACAAAACGCTAGCGTCGGTTTCAACCCCGTGGGTCTATTTAATAAACCCTAATGCGCTGTTGAGAACCGGAAAGTAGTAACCGTCGCTGGACAACATCGGTCTTGGAATTCCACGAGGCTGACCGCGGACCGAAACGAATTTGTACGGGCAGAGACGGGACGGGGCCCTGCTTACAAAGAAGTTTCTCGTTCGCCACTCCTCACCTGAAGAAGTAGCTCCCAACGGAGGGGTCGTTTTGCTTGCCGGCGCGCTTCACCAGATTCTCCAGCATGCCGTGCAGGCGCTCTTTGTGCTCCTCCAGCTCTCGGCAGTACTTCCTCGCCTTGCACAGCGAATTCCTTGCGCCGGACACAACGGACAAACGAGGTCTCGGTCAGCGCCCCTGGAATTACGCCGCCGAGGCCACGCTGCCTTGTCTAGCAGCAACGGAAAAGCCATGCCTCCAACTGTGGCCACATTTCGTCAACGACTCTTTAATATCACTTTATTTCAAGAAAAAAAAGTCGTTATGTCGCCCCCCCCTCTTGACAAGATTAATGCTCATTTGTAGGCCGAGTACCACACAGGGACAGTTGCCACTGGGGGGGCCCCCTTTGGCTAGACTGCAGCAGGGTATTGGAATGGGTGAGACGAGATGTGATGTAAGGCACTTGGGAATTGCTGAGGCGTGAAGGCATGCGCCCTGATCGTGCAAATCCTCATGGCTTTGGCAAAGCCTTGAGCATCGACCCTCGTGGGGGTGCATTGTGACATCACAAGTCGGCTGAGGTCAACAGTGAGAGAGCCGTGAGCGCAGTGCGATGGAGGGAGCCAGCGCTGCGTGTCTGTGCATGCGTGTCTGTGCGTGCGTGTCTGTGCATGCGTGTCTGTGCATGCGTGTCTGTGCATGTGTCTGTGCATGTGTCTGTGCGTGTCGCGCGCACTGGAAGATGTTGACGGTCTTGCGCAGGTACTCCTCCTCCTGCTTCTCCGTGTCGTCACGCATGCAGGTGCGGATGACGGCCAGCAGGGGCTCCATGACGTCGAACGCCAGGGGGCTCTCTGGTCGCTTGGTCAGGAAGATCTCCACCAGGTCGAGCACCTGCGGGACGCGAATCGCGCACCAAACACCGCGCTCGGTGAACGGCGAGAGCAGCGCCGCCACGCACGGCGGCGCCAGTTGGGACCGCTGGAATGCGCCGACTAAACGCAGACTACCCGTACCCCTTTAGGGGAGGCGGCCGCATCAACGTCCTGTCGCCCGAAGGCGGGAAACCCCCCTGCGGGTGTGTGATGCAGCTGCCTATGCCGACGATGTCACCAAGCCCCGTCCGTCACCTGACGTCCGGCGGCACACTTGGGAACATAGACGAGACTTTTGTCCCCAACTATTTTTGTGTGTGTCCAAGTCGAGCAATTGGTACAGAAATTGATGACTCAAATAATCGGATAGCTTGCAGCTCTGCGAGCGGGCCTTGCTGATCTCAAGGAGCAAAAACCATTATTCAAACTCCGGTCATCCCTACAGCGGCTTTTGGCTCGTCATTGAACAAAGACGGTCACTGCATCGCAAGCTTTCAGATGCGTTTCTGCGGTCGTCTGTAAGGCTCTTTCTTCCCATATTAGGAAGCCGCTGGAGCTGTGCACTTTTAAATTTAGATTTTAAATTCATATCTTGAGAACTGCTTTCTGTTTTTAGTTTGTCGTCCTTCCTCCGCACCTCCGATTAGCTACGTATGGTGCTCAACACACACGTACGGGCCGACCGGAGCTTGGCTCACCTTGATGCGGAACTCCCTCTTCAGGCGGCGCTCTCCGCGGAAGCGATCCTTCTCCTCCCGCTTGGCCGCAAGCTTCTTCTTATGCTCCAGGAAGAGCGCCGACAGGTTCTCGTCGAGCGCATTCATCGCTTCCTCGTCGGCGTTATCGATGTCTTCGTCGTTGCTGTCATCTCCGGCCTGATCCACAGCGTCCACAGACGGTAACGGTCAAAGTCAGGACAAAGACACCGCATCGTGGCCAAAGCCGTCGAGGCTACCGCAGCATCCTCGTTACCCGCCGCCAGATCCCACGATTGCTGCTCAGTCGACACGCGGCGACCTCCCGAATCGTCACGACAATCCGTTGTGTCGCGCGGTTGGTGTTTGTTGACCTTCTTTCGCACAGTACTTAGCCAACTGCGCCAATTGGAGGTGCGGGGGAAGGATATCAAACTAATTACAAAAAGCAGTTCTAAAGAAATTAGTTATCAATACGAGCACCATTAAAACGATTTACAAGCTTGTATATTTTTCAAAAAAATTATCACAGTTGCTGCAAAGGTTTTGCTGGGAGCTACAGCAGAAGAGGTGAGTTGGGGTCAGGATGCCCTCGGTCCGCACCGCCACCCCGAGAGAGAGCGTCTCTCACCCAGGCGTTCCCCTCCTGCAGCACTTTCATGAGCTGCAGTCGGAAGTTCTCGTCCACATCCTCCTTCTCGTCCACCTCGTCGCCGTCTTCATCCTCCGCGCCGGAATCGGCACCGGAATCCTCGGCAGCCTCTTCATCCTCCTCCTCCTCGGAGCTCTGGGAGAGGCGAAGCGAGGAGGAGGCTCAGGGCACAGCCACCGCAAAGCAGCCGAGCCGTCAAAAAGCGACCTGCCACCGATTTAACGCAGCCATCGTGCGGACGTCTCCCGCAGCGGTGGAACAAAATGAATGGAGCCGTTTACTAAATGTTTAACAAGAAATTATATAACCCTCTCATGGAAAGATCCCTCATCGTTCGATTGAACAGGATGATAAAATTAGATTGAAGAATTCCTGACCCCCTGAGCCTCTTATCGCCACCAGGGGACAGACCGTGGCTGATGGCGGTGGTTCGCAACCTGGGTGACAGCACAAATGTGCCTTTGAGCAAAGCACTTCAACGTCTTACAAACCTCCTCCTTCTCATCATCCTCATCTTCTTCACCCTTCTTCTTCAAGTCCACCACCATTATTGCTCCATCTTCATCCTCCGATTTCTCCACGTTAAAAACCTAACCAAACACGGAAATGAAAACAAACCTATTTCATTCAGAGCCAGGGGTAAGTTCAACAGAAAACCTTGCACACAGAGTTTGAATTGCGCGTTGCCGAATAGCGTCAGAGTCCTTCGGCCATGGTGAGGTTTCTGTACGAGCGAGCGAGCGAGCGGGTGGGCGAGTGGGCGGGTGAGCGAGCGTGCAAGTGAGCAAGCAAGTGGGCGAGCGAACGGGCGGGTGGCGCTCACGTCGAGGATGAGCTGGAAGGCCGGTGCCGTTATGTTTGGGCAGATGCGAGCGAAGACGCTGCCGCAGATGTGGCGCAGGAGGCGGCTCTTCTGGGACAGCAGCGACAGCAAAATCTCCACCATCACCTCCACCCAGCCCGGCTCCCCTGCACGCAACACGGGAACAGCGTGCCATCACCAACCATGCAGCTCAAGATACGTTCATCAGATCTTGTGTGGAAGAGTCGATGAACAGTTACACGTTATCTTCACCATCCGCCCGCATCTGTCTGGACACGTTTAATCGCGGACGTGGCATTCACAGTTCAGCATCGTACCGATTAATCTCACGACAGCACCGGCATTGTGCAGTGACGCAACAACGCTCGGTCGGTTCGAACAGCTGCACCTCGTCGTGCGTAGACACACAACGACGCTCACTGCGACCCGTTTTAGTACCGGTCTCTGCAGCCTTTTCCGCTTTCATCTTCTGCGCCGCAGTAGCCTTCTCAATGCAGGCTTGCAGGTCGGTGAGGATGTCCGAGCAGTCATCTCTACCCTGCACACCCAACAAAATCGTCAGCGTCGCGAGCCAACAATCAACTCAAGTTCCGATTAAATAAGATGCGTCCAAAAGCACCGCGACAGATCGGCGAGCGCAGACGCACGAGGGTCACGGCGGAGTGAGCGGGTTCACACCTGAAAGAGTTTCAGCGCGACGGAGAGCAGCAGGACTTGAAAGGCCGCACTCTCCGAGCTCTTAATCTTCTTGCTCTTCTTGCGCAAATCGCTCACAACCTTCATGGTCCTGCACGGTGGTCGAGTAAGCATCCATGCAGAGGTGACCGGTTAGATCAGAGCGGGTAATTATTTGCCCAATACGTCAGCTTACACAACACCTTTCCATATCACGGCAGTGTCAATCGCGAACGTGGCCAGCGTGTTTTTTGATGCACCAGTGCCAACACAGGAAGTCAATCGGGGCGGGATAGGGTGTGGCACAATCGAGTGGAAACGAGCATCGTACGAGATATCCACCGGTTAACCGTTGCAAGGCGGGCAACAGGCGGTGATCGGGGGCAACAGGGACAGGTGAACAGTTCACCCACGAGTGAGCGCAGAATAAATAATAATATAAATTAACATTTATAAGGAGCAATTCATCCAGGGATCTCAATGCACCGTGCAGGAAGTTAGGAAATATAAATACTACAAAGTCCAGAGTCCACTGGTCACACCTCGGAAGTGTGTAGGCCGGGCGAAACAGCCGAGTCTTTAGAGAAGACCCAAACATGGCCAGTGACCTCGCCTGTCTAACCACTGGTGGGGGGAGGACATTCCATAGTCTCGGCGCATCGCGTGCAGAGGAACCTCCCTGGGCAACTCACCTATTCCAGGAGGCCAGCTCGTCCTTGCTGAGAGGGTTGACGAGCCGCACGGTGCCGCTCGCCTGCATCAGCTCCTCGGCCAGGCACGCCACCGTGTACACCCAGAGGGTGCCGTCGCGCCGCACGCCATGGGAGTGCCGTGCGTTCAGCGCCACCGCCGTCTCGTCGTCCCCCAGCACGCGCATGTTGTTCAGGTGGTGCAGCAGGCTGTGGGGGGGGGGGGCAGACGAGGTGGTTTTCGCGAGATATGTTTCACGAGCATCGGCGGCGTGTTTGTTTGTAGGTACGCACAACTTCTTTCACAACCTAAGTAGCCAACCGTGCTCATCAGAGGTGCGTTTGGTACCGTGTCGCTATCACACCCGCCGTGTTCTCGGTTGTACAAGACTGTGGTCGTCTCAACCACACAGTCTTCAACCATCGCACTGTAGGTCACAACACGTCTATTTCTGTTTCCCTCACACCGCTCCACTTTGGAATTCCCTCCCATCGTCTCCTTTCCAAAGTTCTTCTAAGAACCACGCTCAAGTCCGGAAACATGTTAACTCTTGTAAAAAAGGTGTCAGTTTTGTTGCCAGATAGAAGGGTAAAAAAACAATTATCATGTTAACTCTTTATCGATTACAGCTTTGAAAGTGAAGTTTGATGCTGGCCGCTTGAGGCATTGGGGCCTGTGCATGGCATTCCGTGTTGTCATCCATTAACTGAATGGACATATTAATAACTTGAGATTCCCACTCTCTCTCTTTGCCTTGTCCAAATACATTTAACATTTCAGTCAATATATCTACTGCTTTTGAGACTCGCAGATGGCAGTGATGCAGCGATCTCCGAGCTCTCGGTTCTCACTGTAACATGTTTGTTTCCCACTCTCCACGTCAGGTCACGCCCCCTCTCAAACACACACATTTTGCAAAAGGGATTTTTTTTCTCAGTAGAATAAGGGTAACCTGGTAAATGGTTTTACCATCCATCGCCGATAGAAAATCCAGCGCTTCGCAAAACTCGTCTTTTTTGGAAATGACGCAACGAACCCAGTTTTACGACAACAAGCAACGCGATAAAAGATACATTTTTTGTTCCAAAAGTTAAAACAAAAACGCTTGACCGAGTACACAGCGGGATGGCGGGCGCGGCGACAAACCTGAAGAACATGTGCCCCATGCTCATTCTGGTGCTGTGGTCCAGCGACACCGTCGCCTGCTCCTGACTCTCCGGCACGCTCGCACTCGGCTTCATCGTGTGGAAGAACGAGTGAAAGAAAACGAATCTGCGAAACGAAAGGCGGACGCAGTGGCGACGGCAAACCGGTTAAACAGGTGAACGGAAACCTCGTTGACCAATTGGCGGGGATCCTTTTCCTTACCCAGAGCCAAATAAGATTTCTTTAAATACCGCTGGCGGAGGACGCATCAACGCGCACCTTGGTCACTTCTGTGCGCTAAACTTAGAAACATCGTTTCCAGGTGGAAAATGTTCCCCTCGAGTACGCGACGAGTGCAGCGAAGGTGACTGCGGTTGACAAGACAATTAGCATTCGCGGGCTGTTTCAAAGTAGGCCTCACGGGGCCATGGTCTGTGTGAAGTGGTGTCGGGTGGTCCTCCTCCACCCTCGTCATGGACGAAACACGATACGATACCGACGTAAACATAACACGCAAAAAAAGTGAAAAACAAAATATGTCGAAGAGACTCTACCTGGTAATTTCCAGCACGAGCTCCTCGTCCTTCTGCACCTGGGAGTTCTCCACCAGAGCCGAGAATCTCTCCACGATCCACCTCCGCAAGCGGCCAACGGGGTCGATCTGCCGCTGGTCGCTAAGAGACGGGACGGGGTTGGGGAGGGCAATGATGACGCGAAATAGAGACGCGAGTCCGGCGAGGTCCGTGTCCCACGGTACTGCCGTGCTCGAGTTCAACGGTCGCTGAGATTCGACAACGCCAACGACACGAGCAGCCGTGCAGACTAACGGCGGCAAGCAACGTAGCCCCCCCCCCCCCAGCGCTTAAATCATAAAAATATTTTTATTAACGAACTGCTCACGACGGCATTTCCCCCGCGACGCTGTGGTGTGATTTCCTCATCAACACACCTCCGCTAGGCGCCATGTACGCGTGCAGCCCCAATCATCTCGAAGATGCGGGCCTCCATTGGTTCTTTCGGTAAAGTCACGTATAAAGATAAAATAATAAATTAAATAAATAATTGCATACTAGTAGTAGCATACTAGTAGTATGCTATTATTTAATTTATTATTTTATCTTTATACGTGACTTTACCGAAAGAACCAAAGAATAATTCCTGCAGTCACGAAAGCTCCACAATTAAGATGCGGGCCTCCCTTGGCTGTGCGGGTCGTGGGGGGGTTATCTAACCATACTTCACCACCATGGTCAGTACAGGTCGGTTAAGGCGGTGAGGAGCAAATATTTGTGTTGCACTCCACTCTGCTGGCCAACACGTTGCCTCACAGCCTACGGCGCTCGTTACGCACAGCGGTCACCCACCCGAGTGCGACCCAGGCTCAACCCTCCCTCCCTTATTCTTTGGGTCTTTCGGTAAAGTCACAGAGAACAATTTTTTTTTACAAAAAGCTACGACGTTTCGATCGCAATACAAGCAATCGTCAGGAGATGACGATTGCTTGTGTTGCGATCGAAATGTCGTAGTTTTTTGTAAAAAAAAAATTTCTACTAGCTTTAAGTCAAGATCCCTCCCTTGCTTCGACCTGACGAGATCAGACGAGAACGGGCGCATTCTGCTCCGTGCTGTTGTGGAGATTGCCATCTTTAAGAAGAAAAAGAAAATCACCCCATCCCTCACCCTTCCCACTTGTCGGTGCTTTCCCGCTGGTACTGCCACTCGGGAGTGAAGTCCACGATGGCGTCCATGTCCGGCGAGAGGAAGGAGCCGCGCAGCCACGCCACGTAGCGGCGCAGCGCGGCGGGGCTCAGCTTGCGCACGACGCCCCAGTTCCCCGGCATGAAGGGGCGGCTGCGGTTCGCCACGGAACAGAAGCCGACCACCACCGCGAGCTGCCGGTCGTCGTCCGTCTCGGGCGCCAACAGGAACGCCTCCACCAGCTCGTCCACCTCGCGCGAGATATTGTACTTCTTCTGCATCTGGTGGGGGGTAGAGTGAGGGGGAGGGGAAGCGTTGTGCGGAAGAAGACAGGCAGCGTGTGTCAATGTGCAGTAGTCGCCGCATTGCCACGATTGCCCCCCCCCCCCTGCCCGCCTGGTATGTAAAGCTGGCTAGCCCCCCTCCCCCCCAACCCACGAGTAAAATAAATGAAAATTCGTCTTGTACCCTCCATGGTTGCTCCCTTTTCATCGCCTGGTGCGTAGGGATTGCAAGTGTGGCCATTATCGCCAATAAGAAAATTGTCAACGCAGTTGACGCGCGAAACGACTCGTCCCCAGCGCGCACGCAGCATAAACTGTTGATTCAATAGATTTCTGTTAAAGATATTAAAACGGGATATTTCCAACTACAAATCTAACCACAAAAATACAACCTACACAAATTTTTTTACTGTAACATGACACAAATACAACATTGTGTTTTTGTATTTTTGTTGTTGTCACTTTCTGACCTGCCCCAACTGGACACCTGTGAAGAAGAGCTTCATAGCTCATCGGATATCTCCAGTATGAATAAAGATTCTGATGTCATAAAAACCCCCGTGGACACGTTCCCTTATTGGCCCCGAGGGTTGATTCCAGACAAGGCAACATTCGCATCGCACAACTCGTTTGTATGTATGCTCAACTTCTTTCGCACAATACAAAGCCAACCGAGGTAATCCGAGGTGCATTTGACGCAAATCTGGCCGTGCGGTCGGTGTCTATCCCCCGGCGCTGCCCGGCGTCGTCACCGCCCGTACCTTGGTGCGCTCGTACTCCCCGTACGCCTTCATGACGTCGCTGGTGAGCACCAGCTGGATGTGGGGGATTGACAGCACCGGGAGGCAGTGGCCAAGCAGCCGCAGGCACAGGAACCTGAGCACAGAGGGAGGGGGGGGGGACGAGGGCAGCCTCTTTAAGGGACGCCGCATGCTACGCAGCGACACAGACAACCGACGGCGAGAACGGCGAGGCCACAACGTAGCCGCCTCCCTATCGATCGAGGTGCCAAATCAATTCTCCGCCAAGTGAAGGAAGACGATGTTTAGCGGCCCACGTGGGCTCCACTCACAGGCACGGCGACGATTTGTCCCGGGCCACCTTCTCCACGACCTCCTTCCACAGTAGCTGGAAGGTGCCCTCCTTCAGGGCTTGCGACACCAGCTTCATGCAGAGCGGGGGGAATGGGTCGTTCTTGGCCACCGACAGGGCGGTCTGCTTCAGTAGGCCCACGAGCCTGAAGGTAAGTGCACGCACAGAGAGGTGACTTCCACGCCGTCTTGCGGACAAAGGAAGCAAAAGGTCGAGACCAGCATTTGTCGGGCTCCAGGCCTCCCCGTGGTGCAGCTTTCCACGTTTACCAACCATCAGCTCCGTGCAACCTGCAGATTTATTTGTATATAATTGGAAATGATCGGTAAACGTGAAATGGAGCACAGTGTAGGTGGGTCACGAGTACCGGAGAAACACTGATCTCGATCGTCATCCCAAGAGCTGTGCCATGGCGAGTCTACTCCGCGCAATTCACAAGGAGCTCTCGTTCGTTCGACAGGGAACATGAGAAAACAGGACCACGCCACCCGAGTTTCACCCACACCCGAGCGGAAAAACCATTTAACCCCCGCTTCGCCAAACGCTGTGCGACTTGAGACGAAATTCCGTTCAGACACTGCCACGTAGACTTAACGACGTCGCTCCTGCTCGCTCCCCACCTCAGCACGTTGTCGCGGCAGACGACAGTCTTGGTGCCGATGGACTGGGCGATGACGCTGTCGTCGACGACGTCCGGGAAGTGTTCGATGCACGTGAGCAGCAGGTTCAGGTTGTCGGGCGCGCGCAGCGACAGGGAGAGCTCCGAGTGCAGCTTGCCCAGCACGCCGTCGCGAAACACGTCCTCCGGGACCTGCGGCCACATGGCACACGCGGTCGTGAGGTCACCAAACTATCGCCACGTGTAAAATTCACTTCCATTTAGGGCAGCGCCATTGACAAATGGGTTTGGGTTTTTGCCACTTGTACCAACGTAAACGAGATCAAAATTCGGGGTAACAATTTGATTTAAGAATCAATTCCTTGCTTTGTTCTGTCTCATGTGTACTATTGGTACTATTCCATTTGCCCAAATGTAACATTGGCATCTCATTTGTGTTCATCTTAAACAACCAACCCTCACGCACGACACGATGCAGATATCGCAAGCTAAACAATCGATACTAATACGCGAATCGATGCATCTTCATACGCCTACTGTCTACGCAATCACACGTCGCCCTTCCTTTGCAAAAAGTCTACCAACTAAAATATACTTGTCTTGCTAAGAATATCATCACAGCATACATCTTAAATGTTTTAAACATTGTACACTATACGCACGAAGCTGCAGATATGCTGCCTGGGAAAGCGTTTAGCAAGTGTTTATAAAGTGATATTTGAGACATGGCGCAGTGTCAGGGCACAGGCCCCACCTCGGCCACGATCTCACAGATGGCCTTCATGGGCAGGTTCTTGACAAACTCCTCGTAATCCTGCATCTTCCGCAGGTGTGCCAGCGCAGCAAGGAGCACCTGGGGCTCCTGTGACACAAAACACGCGACATGGCTCGAGATTAGCACGGTTGGCTATGTACGGCATGAAAGAAGTTCAACATACATACAGATAGATCAAATGCATTTAACATGTACCCTCGCCTGTTTACATATTAGCACAAGTCCACCTACTCCTGCTTAATATTTCTTTAGCTTCATTTTGTAATTGTACGATGATCAGTCAAATAAGTAATCTGCCCGAGCTGACTTATACTCCAGGGAATTTATTACCTAGAATTGAGCAAATGTTCGTGCAATATTTCCCATTTCTCATGTGACGCGGTTGTTTTTTGTGCTAATTTCTATTTGCTTGAAAATTGAGACTATTCTGGTCTCTTCAGTTCTCACCTGGCTACACAAAATAAGCGATGTATGCAGCAGGCTATGTCACATCTGTAATATATTTTAATACAAAAATAAATGTCCTTTGTCAATCCACTGCTGGATGAAAGCCTCTCCATGCTATTTCTAATTTTAATTTTTTACCTACGTGACTTTACCGAAAAAACCTAAGAATATATCTCCATGCTATGTCAGTCATGGGGGTTGTTCGTAAGTTACCTCCACCACGCTGGGCAGTGCGCGGTGAAGGAGGGGAACAGCCAGGACCGGGGTTCAGTGTTGCTCGTCACTGGTGTTTGCCGTAGCCAGGAATCAAACTCAGGTCGTCTGGGTTGAGTGTACGAACCCACTGCACTACTGCTCCACCCCTCGTCACATTTATGTTTAACACAAATTAAGTAATGCCATTTACGGCATGCCTACGTGGGGTGGTGCCAACAGACTGAATGTGAAGTAAATGGATGGAACAACTTTTTTTGAGCTTTGTTTTTTGATGCTGTGGATCCTAGACAATTCAAATCAACCGGGTTTCTCACCTTGTGAAATTTCACTGAACAAATGCTTTAAAGCCCCAAACATTTGTTTATGTCGTTTATTGTGAAAATTCGGTCACAGTTTCTATGATCACTGTTTCATTGCTTTTATGGCTTTATTTTGGTGATTTCGAAAAGTTTTTTGGTTTGGCCATGTTTGTTTGTTGTAGTACGGAGTTAAGACTGATAGCCTTAATCTAAGTTGTCTTGTGGTTGTTGTTGTTTTTTTCTGTTTGCACATAGTCACATAGTCACTTTAAGATGTTTTCGTGTTCATGTTTTAGTTTTTTGTTTGTTGCGGTTGGCCCCGATTCAAGAGCCGAATGGCTCACAGGGCTATACCTAATTAATGAACTTGAACATCCAGCAGTACAGACAGAAGCACTGGAGATGTACAGATTAAATAAACACGAGCCTGCTATCCATATGAGGCAAAATACGTTTGCAATGTCATTTGAAAATGCAGTGTTTCAGACAGACACCTACCTTCATCAAGCGTCCAGACTGTGCCAGCGCAAGCACTCCGAACACATTCCCGATGGCGTACTGCTTTCCCAGCCTCTGCACAATGACACGGGCCGATCAAAGATGTTCAACCCCCGCAGCAACGTCGCCAGACAGTATTATTGTCCTGTGTGCTTAAGTGGTGTGCGCTGTGAGCAGTCACCTTCTTTGCCTTTTGGACGACAAGTCGTTCCTTGATCATGGAGAGAATGGTCAGTAGATCCAGGGACTCAAACGATGCCAGAACCTGGGAGACATAACGAAAAAAAATCCTTAAATTACAGAGCAAACATCGATGCGGTATCGCGCGCTTTTCGCCCGTTATTCAATTACCAATGTCAAAGCATCGTGCGATGCTCAGACGATAAAAGAGCAGCAGCGGTCACTTACATGAGGTGGTCCCAAGCCAGTGGTGGAAATTCCACGTACCCATGGCACGGGCCAATCTGCTACTCGCATGAGTTTGGGGTATCTTACTCTTAGGTTTTTTTTGGTAAAGTCACGTAGGTAAAAAATTTAATAAAAAATTACTAAAAGTAATAATAGAAATAAATAATAAATCACGACGTTTCGGAGGCAACACAAGTCTCCGTCATCAGGTGGGACCGTCACAGCTACATTTACTGTACGGTCCCACCTGATGACGGAGACTTGTGTTGGCCTCCGAAACGTCGTGATTTATTATTTTATTTTATTATTACTTTTAGTAATTTTTTATTTTATTTTTTACCTACGTGACTTTACCGAAAAAACCTAAGAGTATGAATCCTTGCAGTCACGAAAGCTTCAAATCTAGAATTTGGGGTATCTCCTTGGCTACGTCGACCCATCTCCTGGACATCTGTGACTACTGGACATCTGTGAAAAATAGTTTTAAAGCTCGTCGCATTCCTTCAGTATAAATATTCTGATTCCGACCCCTGACAGGGAGTCGATTCCTTCTTCAGCGTCTTCAGCTCTTGAAGAAGTTTACGAAAGGAATCAAAGTAGCTTCAGGAACGGAAGAAACCTCTCAACACGTGGCAGCGAAACGCCGGACATCACGCCGAACAACACCTGGTAGAACCCGAAAGCACACCGGAGAAGAGCCGTTCGGTCACATGAACGATGACACCGAGGGGGGCTCGGTGCGGCGTGAACATTCCCCACCTGGGCAAGGGCGAGGGTGAAGCCCGGCCTGGCAGCGTCTCGCACGGACACGAGTCCATCCACCAGACGCCTGAGGCTGTACTGCATCTCCTCCTCCTGCAAGCAGCACACGCAGCACAAGCAAAACACGCAGCACACGCGCACGTCTTCACAATGCATCGGGACAAGAGCACTCTTAGCAGACCTGGGAATAATGATTATTGAGTGATTCATAATTAATTGCAGTCATAATTTCAGCTGACAAATGCTGTTGCGTTGGTAATTACAACTGACCCACACCCACCCACCCCCCATAGTCTTGACTGCGATTCCGCGCCTGGATTATTCCTCCTCACCACACAATTGCAGGGTTTCAACACGAGGTGGAGCTTTAGCCCCAAAATCGATGTTGATGTTGCCTGCGGGACACCGCAATAACCCTCCAGCAACTATACCAGTTGCATTATATTCCCTGGTAATTAATTAGTCGTGTGTTCAGCTTAGCAGAGAAGCACATAGATCAAAGGTGAAGTTACTCAAACGACCAATTAATGAGTTCGGGTGGCTACTAAGCACGTGGTCAACATGTATCCCATTCCCGAGAGGAATTCCCGAAAGGAATGGGATACTTGTATTCAATCCCTGTGGGTGGAGATGAATCCCAACCTGCATCTCACTCCACCACACCACATATTAAGACAACTTCTCATCATCACGCCGCAGAGAACCCCAACTCGTTATCCGTTCGCCATCGGGACCGTTTCAGCGGCCGGGAGTGCGGCAAAGCCGAACCGCGAACCGCGAACACGTGGATCAGCCACCACCAGCAGCGTTTAAAGCAACAGCGGCAGCAATCACAGCAGCGTTATCTACAACAACCGCTGCTGCTACAGCACTCATAGCAGAAACTATAGCGGCAGCACCAGCTGCTGTTGCTACTAAAGCAGCGGCAACTCGAGCAGCATTGCGTACAACAGCGGCGGCGTGTACAGGCAGCAGCGGCAACTGTAGAATCACGAGCTCAAGTAAAAATCAGTGACTACAGCTGGGGTAACACTCCGGCAATATCGACAACAGCAGCAGCAGCAGCAGCAACAGCAGCAAACACCGCAACCCCGACATCTGCACGAGCCACAAAGCGCGGACGGCGCTCACCTCTCCATTGCTCTTCAGGTGATCGATGAGCCTCCGGATGGCCCGCAGCCTCACGTCCTGGTCCTCCTTGGGGATGTCCCAGAAGATGTCGAGAAACTCGCGGCCCTTGGCGAGACGCCCACCCCGCTCCGCCTTCCCCGCGCCGCGAGTCGCCGCCGCCGCCTCCTCCTCCACGTGCTCCCCAGCCATCTTACCACCACCACCACCTTCCACGTGGTTGGCGCTCGCGGGTGACGTCACCAACTTTGCGACGGCAGCAGCGAAGGACCCCGGAACCGCGACGCTGCCCGCCGTGAACCCACGCCCCGCCCCCTCCACGCCCCGCCCCCTTCCACGCCCCGCCCCCTTCCATTCGCCCCGCCCCCTTCTATTCGCCCCGCCCCCTCCACGCCCCGCCCCCTCAACGCCCCGCCCCCTTCCATTCGCCCCGCCCACACCCCACGGCCCCCCGCCCCCCGAATTGCCTGTAAAATAATTTCGTTACTATAACGCAGCGGTCGGGAACCTTTGGCTCGCGAGCCATATATGGCTCTTCCAGTGACTGCATATGGCTCCTAGCCAATTTTGAGTTGAAAAAAGAATAAAAAAATAAAAAATAAAAAATCAGTTTGGAACTGATTTTAAAATACTTGTGATATTGCTTAATAATGCTGTGTCATTTTAAAGTAAACAGAAATTAGTTTTGAACATAAATTTCACGGGTCACGCCTGCATGAAGCTCAACCTCACCACGTATGAACCAGACTACAAGGCCATCAGCAAAACCATGCAGCACCAGAAGTCGCATTAAAAGTAAGACATATTTAATTTATTATACGTTCATAATACTACATGGCTCTCAATGAAATATATATAGAAATATTTGGCTTTTATGGCTCTCCCAGTCAAAAAGGTTCCCGACCCCTGCTATAACGGAATATTTCTATGGATTTGTCTTCTTTTATTTATATATTCTTCTTACTCTTTGGTTTTTTCGGTAAAGGCACGTCAGTATACCTACCGAAAGAATCAGTCACGAAAGCTTCAGATCAAGATTGGATTCTTACTGGTTGGAACCTCCTGGTTACACCAGCCCACAGGGGATTATTGTGTCCGTCCGTCCGTCGTGTAGGGAGGGGCTGGGTGGGGAGGGTGGGGAGGGGCTGGGTGGGGAGGGTGGGGAGGGGCTGGGTGGGGTGGGGCTGGGTGGGGAGGGGCTAGGTGGGGTGGGTGGGGGGTGGGAGGGGTGGGGGGTGGGTGGGGAGGGGCTGGTCACCCCGTGGTGCCCGTATAAAAATCAACGTTTAACCTACTCACGCCGGCTTGTGCCCGCCCTCACAGTCGGGCATATTTGCGGAATACACCACACCGCCGTTGACCCTGGCCATTGACCGAGTAACCCAACGTTCCTACCAGCTCCCTCCGCAGGAATATGTTCTTAATTGTCGTTCTGCCCTTTTTGTTGGGCCACTTGAAAAACAAAAAATTGTCCGTTCATTAAAGTATCCGTAAGCGCGCAAGATGTGCGCGCGCACTCTTCTTCGACTGTCTATTTGCACTTGTACAGCCGAGTTGTCATTCCGCTGCTGGATGTTGTTGTTGTTGTGTGTCCATACTTCACCCCCCCCTGGGCAGCACAGGCTCCAACAACAACAACAGAGCAAGCGAGCGCTGATTGGCTCACGCCAGGGGGCGCATCGCACGCACCGCGCCGCAGCCGGTGCGGTGCCTCCAGACCTCGTCAAGACGTCCCACGTTCAGGTGGTTTGAGCCAGGTGATTGTGTCGGAGCTCGCCGAGTGGTGGCATCGCTCTGATGATGCCTTCGTCTAGATCTCCGTGTCAGTCTACGGATCTCTACGGGAGTCTCTGGGTTGCTGTGAGTGTATGGTTCTGCATGCATCTCCGTGTGAGTCTTTAAGGGTCTCAGTGTGAGTCTATCGATCTCTGTCTTCGTTTGCCAGATATTGATGGAGAGCATCAGCTGGTGGTTGAGCCAAATGATCGTGTCAGGGCGAGCGGAGTGGTGTATCGCTGTGATGATGCCTCCTCCTGTATACATATCTCTGTGTGAGTCTATGGATCTCTACGCGAGTCTATGGGTCTCAGTGTGAACATATACTTCTCTGCGTGAGTCTATGGGCTTCTGTGAGGACAGGGACTCCTCTATTTGCGAACATTCGACTTACGAACTTTCAGATAAAAACATGTTCGTATGTCAATTTGCCTGTTCGGACCTAGAGTCGTAAGTTTAACCGCCGCACAAACAGATGGGGGTGGTGGCATCTACATCTGCAGAACATGAAGAACCAGTGGCATCGACTTCTACATGAGATTATATAACCTTCAAAGCCATTCCCCGTGTTTAGTTTACACACCGTATAACATGTTTGGAATCGACAGCAGTAAAGTTGGACTTACGAACAAATCGACTTACGAACAAACCTCTGGAATCTAACTCGTTTGTAAGTAGAGGAGTCCCTCTATATGGTTCTGCATATATCTACGTGTGAGTCTTCCAGGGTCGCAGTGTGAGTCTATAGATCTCTGTCTTGCTCGTTTGACAGATGTTCATGGAGAGCAACAGCTGCAATTTCGCATTGAGGTGGTTGAGCCGGATGATTGTGTCAGCAGCAGAGTGGTGCATCGCTATGAAGATGCCTCCTCCCGTCTTTGTGGGATAACCTGGTACATTAAGTCGTTGTAATATATATATGTTCTGGTTCTGTTCTGGGTGGTGACCACAGTCTCCGCACAATGACCGAAGACGTGACTTTACCGAAAAAACCTAAGAATATGAATCCTTGCAGTCACGAAAGCTTCAAATCTAGAATTAATACCCTCTACGGGGATGAATTTTACCTATCTGTTAGAGTTTTTAACAGACAACGAGACAAGAAGTCACAGCTTCTCGAGACGCTGGCCTTCCGCAAGAGATGCCGCGATAACAAGGTAATACCCACCTACGTGACTTTACCGAAAAAACTTAAGAATATGAATCCGTGCAGTCACGAAAGCTTCAAATCTAGAATTAATGACCGAAGATTTTAAATTTTCCATCTGTGCATCATCATCAAATATACGTATCAGACGCCGCTATGGTTTGTGCTGGTATGAATTCATGCATCCAGAGCAATGAAGAACATCAGTTAAATTCGTGTGGTGATGATCAAAGATCCCCCGTGTAGCCTTAACAGACTGTAGGGGCAAGTGCTGTTAGCGAGCACCTATGAAGGCCGGAACGGTACACGAGGGGGTGGGTGGCCAGCACCACGCCCGACCGCCTTTGTCTCCCTAGTGACAATGTTTACACACCGCACCAGGTACTCATTTGAGGCTGAGTCGACTTAAGGGAGGCCCGGGACCGGTTCAGATAATCGTCGCTGGTGTTGGCTGTGAGCGGGAATCGAACTCGTGTTGCCGGGTTCATAGCGCATCACCCAGTAACACAAGCACCTTGGGAAATGATGGACACTAACAAACACACAACCTGGGTATAATTCTGAACACCTTGGAAATGCTGCAAAGTCAAAATGACAACCCTCGGTAGAGGGTGAAGACAGCAGAGGCGTCTGTGCAATGAGTCATTATCACGCCTTTGAAAACGCCGAGTGGTAATTCACTCTGGAAGATTACTAATTCGTTGTTGTAACTCACTTTAGCAAATAACGAGCACGGTAACGCGCCCTGGAAAAATTATGAACTTGTATTAATGTCTTCACATATGCGCACGCCAAGATGTTTTAGAATGAATTCACAAAATGCAACGTTTATAGATACCTCACTAACACGATAGATATCTCACTCACGTGATATGGAGAAATTATAGAGAACGACATTTCATTTCAAAGCCTCTACACGTCTCCCACCAATCTCATTTCACGTATTAATATGCATTCACTTGTACGTATACATGTACGTTAAACATAAGAGGGTCATTATAAATCAGTGGGGTATCGACACGTGGATCGCCCTGTACTGCACCACCTTTGAGAAGTTATCCGTTATTGAACGCAAACAGCGCGCCCGCCGAGTGGAGATATGGCGACGAAAATTAGCTCACGATTGGTGGATTATCGCAAATCGCAGCATCGTGAGTGATGGCAACGGCTTGGGGGAGACCTTCATCATCCAGCAGTGGATTTATCGCGGCCGCTGATGTTAATGATGAAAACCACAACGCAGACCGTGTCTGGAGAGAAAGTAACGGGGAAGGGTTGATAGATGTTGCGCAGGAGATTGAAAGAAAGCCCAGATTGTTATCCGCTGCCAATGGGGGTGAGCACGGGCTATTCACGTGGGATTAGGATTGGATTATTGAGGGGCTGTTTCACGCGTTCCCACTGACGATGGAAACACCACGACACAGAGATAAATGCTCAATGAGGCCACTCCGTCGGTTCCTGAATCTTGTTAATTTAACCTCGATTTATTTTTTTCTCATCTTGCCCGCCCGCTTTGTTCAGTGGCACCCCCAACGCATTGTACGGATGGCGACGACCTGGGGAGGAGGACTTCATCCAGCAGTGGATTGCTCATACCTGCTGCCAAGCCCACTTACTTTTCTTAGGACTAACATTTTATCAAATGTCTTCAGCTATGATCAATGCACTGCTGGATAAAGGCCATCCCAAGCTGTAGCACATCACCCAGGGTCTTGCAGTATAGTTTGAAATCCATTTAGCAGCTGCACATGAGCTTATGTCACGGCTCCACTCCACGGAGTAATTCGGTGTATTACTACGACTTGGTACAAGTTTTCCTCGGGAGATACATGTGGTTTTCCTTTTACAATATTGCCACTGTAAAACGGATACTTTTAAAACGTATACTTTTGTAATAAAAGGACTCAGACACTTCTTACTGACTCCGTGTCCTTTATTTGGGGTTCGCGTTCTCCTTCCCACACGGCACTCCTCCTGAGACTCTCTCCCTGGCAGCCCCACATCTGCCTTCGCTCCCGTAGCCTTCCACGCTCCTGCAGCTCCGCTGCAGGCTCTTGGTACAGCCCTCTGGCTGCTCCCCCAGCAGCTCCATCTCTGCTCCCTGTTCCTCCGTGCGTGGCGATCTCGCCACCTCCCAATGTCAGCCCTTCGTGGCCTCTATGGCTATCTCGCCATTTCCTACCTCAATCCTCCACTCTCTCTTCCACCCCGCTGGCTGGCGCCGTCATGAGCCCCTCAGCCACCAGGCTGAGGCACGGCGACCACCCAACGTGTTCACCACCCTTCACTCCCCCGACTGACCCAGATAGCTTCCTGTCTCCCCGCTATAACTTCTCCCCCCCGTCACCCTGACTCCTCCCTCTCGGATCGTCATATCCGCCCCGCCCATTTACGCCCGCATTACACTTTTACCGGATAAAGAAAATATCAATTCCAATATAAACACGACCGCATACTGGTTCACCGTAAACATTCTGCGATATCGATTACAGAACACGATTACCTCATCTTTACACGACGTTAACATTTATAGAACACGCAACAATGCCTCTTTAAATGTCAGTCACCTAACATTGCCCGTGTTTGTTTCGCTTGTATAAGTCGCTGCACCTGCCGCTCGCCGCAGAAAACACCGGCTTTTTGAAGTTGCTTCATAATAATTTCAGCAGCAGGAACAACAACAGCAGCAATAACAGCAGCAGCAACAACAACAACAGCAGCAGCAACAACAACAACATCAGCAACAACAACAGCAGCAGCAGCAACAACAACATCAGCAGCAGCAACAACAGCAGCAACAGCAGCAGCACAATCAGTCTGTAGGCACCAGGGGCACGCACGCACGCCCATTCATCAAGCAGCCTCCCCCCCAAGGGTTCATTCCAGTATTTTCCGCCTATTGATTTCTCCATCCGCATTATTAACAAGCCATCAGAAGTATGAATTAAAGGCGAGAGGGAGCGCGTCGCGATGCGCGCGAGCAACTTGGGAGGTAATGGGTCGCCCCGTGTGATCTGAGCGGCTCCTTGCGGCATCTCCGATGGGCGAGGTTTGGCCACGTACGGCGCGAAAGAAGTTCTGCATGCGGTACATACACCGGGGCTCGGCAAAAACACACACCTGGAATACGTTTCTCGCCGTTTTACAGAGAGACGACGTTGGGTTGGTTGGTAAAGGCCACTTTGGCTCCCCAAAAGGGTCAAGGGTAAGCCATCAATTACACGCAACTCCCGTTTACACCACGGCGTGGTCACTTAAAGTTGGGATACCCGCCTGTGTAATGTGACAACAACGTGATGGTTCACGTTATTCACTCTATTTCACGGATTTCTGGAGTTCTGATAGATTTTTGGAAGTCTGTGTCCACACAAAGCTGTCCTGGTTTGTCGTGATTCCGTTGAGCACATGAGCCTCTTGCAGTAAGGACTACATACTTGTGTTATGAACAAGCTTAATTGTGTATCTTTTGACTGATTTAAATTGTATTCTACTCTAAGGTATGTACAGTATACTGGCTCTGGCCCCCAACCCGCACTGACTGACGTGGTGAAGTATGGTCAAACATCCTCTACACGACCTGGAATGCACGGGAGGCCTTCATCCAGCAGAGGAATTAAACATTACTCAACCATATGAATGTTTTGTTTTATGCTAAAGTGATTTGTAAATTAACGCCGATGATGAATTGATGAACCTACAATGAATTGAAGTCCGAAGGCTTGGTGACCCAACTGCTCACCATCCGTGTTTCGCGTGACTTCGACTCCCGTCGACATCGTTAAGTTCGACATAAAGAGCAATCTCTCTACCTTAATGAAAAAAAACTTTAAGTCTACATAACGTTTCAAACGGCAGTTAAATCGACGTAAAACATTCCGATCCGCTTAAATCATTACAAATGTGCAATATGAACGTGTCAACAATACGCCTGCATATTAACTACACTATTTTAAAACGAAACAAATTTTATTTTACCAAATTTAGCCCACCCAGGCTATATACTGCAGCTCTCTTTCAGAAGGGACTTGGCCACGAATGATTCACCAACCCAGTGGCTTATCACGTGGACATTTAAAACAGCCAAAGACGCCGTACCAAAAACGGTGAGCACGTTTATTGTGTAGACATTCGGAGAGAGGCTCTGGGCCATGCAGGTAAAGCAGAGGTCGCAACCGGGTACCCGATACCCGTACCCTACCCGATACCCGGCTACCCGTATCCGTTTGCGACCCTGGTGCGGCCGGGTACGGGTACGGGTAGGCCGTGAGTCACTGGTGAGTCACCGTTTGTCACTCATTTCCCAACGTCTTGTCTCTTCTCACAATTCAAGTTCCTAGAATCAACCCACCCGCGCCTGCAACATGGCTTCATCCCAGAGGTCGCAATCGGGTACCCGATACCCTACCCGATACCCGGCCGGGTACGGGTAAGGAATCAAAACCCGTTTGCGACCTCTGCGGTAAAGCGACAAAGGAAGACGAGGAGTCTGGACTTGAACAGAGCCAAGGGAGTTCACAGCACGAACGACAGGGAGAAGGGACTTCCAGACGCATCTCCCTTGGTCATGGGGGGTTTTTAGTCTTTTTAAATGCCCGATGATGCAGCACTTGCGAGCAGCATAAGTGATGAAGCCGATGGCATTGCTCTTCGTTTGGCCGGGGCTCGTGTCTGTTTGAGGAATGTGTTACTGCCGTGGCGGGGGTGGAGGCGGATGGACAGCGCTTGGGGTCCTGAAGCGTTGATGCGAGAAGGACCCCGTCGGCTCGGCTTCAACGAGCACATCGACTGCCGTGCGAGGTTCACAACAACAACAACAGCAGCAGCAACAAACAAAAATACACCGAGGCTCTTAAAAGAATGCCAAGATCCGACGTGAATTAAATGAAGCGAGGCGGTCTGTAGGCACCGGTACAGTGTGACAGGGAGCGGTGGGCTGCCGCATAAATAATTCATAAGCAGTGTGAACGAGAATCGGGATGTACCATCACCTGGGCGGGCTGGGGGTGCCGGGGGATGGATGACATGGGCAAGGCACATCATCATGCGACTTGCGGACACAGGCGCTCGGCTCGCATTTAACGCGGCGCACGCCGCACAAACGCCGCCTCCTCCTCCTCCACCACCAGCAACATCCACTCCATCATCTAGGACTCCACGCCCGTTGCCATTTAAACCAAAAGAGCGGTTGCCTGCTAACGTCGGCAGCAGGAGATTTCATCCGCAGGCATCGGTGGCGAACGAACGACCGAGCCGTGGCGTTCGCGAAGAAGAGGCGAACGCGCGTGGATTCGGCCACGGAGGAAGAGCGCACGAGCAGGGAGGCAGCGAGGGAGGAGGCTCCGGGGGCTGCCCGTGCCAGGGACGGTGTCCACAACCAAGGGGTTAATGTCATAGCAACGGCTGGGTCCGCTCTGTGGTACTCGGACTCCTCCCTCGGTCCACGAGCCGATTGGACGTCGAGGCTTCGGGGAGAGGTTGACGAGCCAGCCGTCCTCGTCGAGAGAAGGGGCCGTTCGCTCCGGGCTTTCGGCTCCGGGAGCCGGCGTGGAGGAGGAGGGAGGAGGACCCGGGAGAGAGTGGCAGCGCCCGGGGTGGACCAGAGAGAGGGCAGCGGTTACTGGCTTCTTGCGGTCTCACTGCCCATCTCTCTCTCCATCTCCATCTCGCTCTCTCCCCCACCTCTCTCTCTCTCTCTCACGCTCCGTCTAATTATGACGAATCGGGGGAGGAGCGCACAGCTCTCGGAGTGCAAGAAGCAGAGGACGGTCCGTGGACCCCCCGCTCTGATGCCGCATCCGCAGTAGTGGGGACGGGAGAGGCTCGAGCAGAGAGTGTCGCGGGCTCGCCAAGGCTCGGCGCATCGCGGCAGATGTTGAATTTCGTGTAAACTGCTGCTGCCGCTACCGCGCGAATAGCGGACAACCTTTTGCCTTTCTGCCGTGGTGGCCAGGCGGCGGATTACAAAGGTCGCCTCGTCTCGGAGTGGCCGAGCTGCTGATGCTGCTGCGACAGGGAGGTAAGAGGACACCATCGCCAAGATTAACACCACAACCACCAAACACCACCACCACCAAACACCACCACCACACAGCACGCTCCTTACCGCCGGTTGTGGTCAAACAGCCTCCGTGATAGCCATGCCAGCGGGCTTGACAGCAGAACATCGTTGTACGCGCGCGGTCACGTCAATCCGCGGCTGGACCCAGGGCTCCGTTTGCGGGTTATTTAACCTCGCCGTGTCGTCAGTGGGGGGCGGGGAGGGGGGCATAGACGTGGAGACATAGAAGTACAGGACAACGATGGTGTTTTGCTGCTGCCCTCTGTTGTTGAGCATCGCGTTGAACTCTGACGCCCCGGGTGTGCGGAGTGGCCTCAACCCGGTCAGACGGCATTAGCGGCAGCATTTGTTGGAAGCGAATCATCATGTCTCGTCACAGCGCTACTGCTTGGTCGGGGGATGCTTGACCATACCTCACCACAACTGGACAGTTGCGGGTTGGGGAAGGGCGCGGTGGGGCAGCCCAGGACCGGTTTCAGATATCGCTCGCCACTGTGCTCAGCCGTGGCCGGGAATTGAACTGGGGTGCGTTTAGGTTAAGGGAAATGTCAAATGTAACTCGAATGTAATAACGTGCACGTTCTCGCCAAGAGATTGTGTCCCAACATAATTGTTAATCGTCCACACAGCAATCTGGGTGGATCTTATCTAACATTTCACAGGCCGCTGTGTTTTAATATTTGATGTAATTTTGAGTGGTATCTGAACCGATCCTGGTTCCCCATCTCCTCCCCAACCCCCTCCTTGACCAACTCTCAATCACCAGTGCGATGAAGTATGGTCAAACAACCCTCGTGACCGACACGGCGCTGGGAGGCTATAATCCTGCAGTGAATGGTACAAAACGTACGTTAATTGGACGTTTTGTCCAGGCAGTGAATGCACTGCTGTCTCTGACAAAACACATACAGACTCTGCCTTCTCGACAGACCTGTTCTCCACCTGAAGACGGTTGCTTGCGTTGTGGCCGAAACGTCTTGAGAATTATTTTATTATGTTTTATTTTTATTATTTTATTATTTTCCTTCTACGTGACTTTACCGAAAGAACCAAGAAGATGAATCCCTGCAGTCACGAAAGCTTTAAATCGAAACATACAATGTGCTTCATGCACACAGCGTCGACCATCATCATCAGCAGCAGCAACAGCTTTCTGTCACCTGAACACCAATTTCATTCACATAGACTGTACTGACCGCCTGTGAGTGGACACCCACAATGAGATCCGTAACATGTGTGCAGTTGCTGGGCGGATCCTTCCATCCCAAAATCGTGTAAGAGGAGGTTGGCTGCTTGAGGATGCCTTCATCCAGCAGTGGATTAACCATGGCTCCTGGTGATACTATATACGTGTGTTTTTTTTAGCAGGTGTGCAGCCTGCACACTTCATTGTGGTTTGGTTACCGTGATGGCAATGGTCGCCTGCAGGAAGCGAGCCCAGCCGTCGGTGAACCGCAGATGTGTGAGTGGGGTCACGCACTGGAGCGGACGCGACTCACTCAGGCCGACGCGCCCCACTCTGCGGGAAGCCACAATACGCGGTTACCCGCTTGGACTTACTGAGCCCCGCCATAGAAAGGTGGAATTCCCACCTGACATGATGATGGAGCCCTCTATTATTTGATGGAAACCTCACCGAGTCTGGAGACTGTGTTTTTGAGGAGGGTCCAACATTGGGATGTTTGGCCAATTTGTCGAACGAGCGGCTGTAAATGTTCAGTTCTGATCTGGGACTTTTTTTTCAAGCGGCGTTTATGATTTACCTATTTTAATTTGTAATTAACATCACTCAATGCAAAGACAATATTGGAAAATCTGAAACCCGGTGATGTATGGGAAGAGTTTGTTCTCGTGGCTCAAGCGTGTTGGTTGAGACGGCGGTGTTCATTGATCGGTGTAGTGCCCCGAGGCCATGTCACCACGGCCACTGTGTTTGTGGCTGCACCTGGCTTCCCCGTGCCAGGTGCGCGTTTGTCTCCCGTGAAAGCTCGAGAGCGTTTGTTGTAAAGCTGTCGGCACGGAGAGCGAACTCGTGCCGTACGTGCGATGCGTGCGATGTCTCATTTAGCCTCATTTCCGGGGCTGAGTCATTTTCCGTTCACGGCTGCATCGGTGGGAGATAGAGTTTGAAGTAAAACGTTCATTTAGACGCGTCGTGATGGATAATGAACGTGTTCTCGAGTCACTTGACGAGCATTTAAAATATCGCTCGCGCGAAAATTAGGTTCGCATTTGCCGACGTTGATGTGCACATATGAAGTCACGTGTCACCAAATCGTTAGCTCCCACCGAATGTTTTTTTCCGAGTCTCTGGTAGAGACTGGAGCAGGTGGCACTTGACTCGTAGCCACAGCCATAGCGCGAGGTACACTGGATACGATGCGCTGTGCCGAGTGCAGAAATATATTTTTAATTCCGGACCTGGGCAGACCCGGCTGAATTTAAGCCCTGCGTGTCGCACTTTTTAGAGCAGCTTGCTGACAGAGCCAGGTTGGGTGAGGCTTTTGACCTGCCCCTGTTCCATTAGCTTAGTGCCTGACCGTCGGTTTAATGGCCACTGAGGCCAGTGAAGACTGTTCCCTGTAAAGAAGATGATAAGATTAGCGCCGTTGTACATGAGTGGCATGTGCCGGTGCACGTGAGGGAAACCTCACGTTGTAGATATCTGCCCCCGGCCTGTCCTCGGCTTTGGCTCTTTGTGGGTGCCATCGCACGATTGTCCTCGCAAGACACGGCTACGCCACACAGGTGTGCAGGCAGACCTTTTGTTAATCCGCTGCCGGGTGAGGCCCTCCCCATGCCGTGGAGGTTGTTGGGGGAGGGGGCTTCTATGGCGGTGCTTCCCCACGCTGGTAAGTGCGGCTTGGTGAAGGCGGCTGAGAGCGTAGACTTCGGGGGCATGACAAGCTCCATACGATAATAGTTTTTTTACCCTTCTATCTGGCAACAAAACTGACACCTTTTTTTTACAAGGAGTCATGTTTACATAGACCACAATACCTGCGGTCATAATGCAAACAAAAAACATAACTCTGATAATGTGCACTGTTCTTGAAGTTGATTGGTCCACACCCGAGACAGCTTTCTTTAGAGCCTAGTCTCACATGGGTTGGACCAGATGACGCCAAAAGGTTGTCTCGGGTGTGGACCAATCAACTTCAAGAACAGTGCACATTATCAGAGTTATGTTTTTTGTTTGCATTATGACCGCAGGTATTGTGGTCTATGTAAACATGACTCCTTGTAAAAAAGTTGTCAGTTTTGTTGCCAGATAGAAGGGTTAAAAACCAATTATCATATGTTTTACTGGCAAATGAGGTTCCAATGGTGTAAGTTCCATACGACGGTGACTTTTTCTGCGCTGTCCTCTGCTGCCCACAGCATCCCCCGCAGCAGGCTCCAACAACTGCCTTTACATACAGCACGCTGGTGGTCACCCATCCAAGCACTGTCCACGCTCAAGCCTGCTTCGTTTCTGAGATCTAACGAGGGATGTGGCATACAGAACCTAGAGCAGGCAGCAATACGCGGGCCCTCCGAAAAGTTACGAGAGGCCCTGGCACAATATTCTAGATGAGGCTCTCTCAGTCTGTTCTGAGGCCTCTGTGGATCTCAGGCCTTGGGCAAACTGCCTCAGCTGCCCCTCTCTTTGTGACCCTGTTGAGACCAGTGAGGCTTAGTGGCAACAAGACCCCAAGGCCCGGAGCTGTCAGAGTCCGGGGAGCCAGCAGTAACAGCGGTACAAGTGCAATATGGTCCGAAGGCGCGACGCCAACAAAATAATGAGGTTAAAAATGTGAGGGTATTAATAAAATATAGGATTATTCCCGGTACATGTGTCACTGCACCATGTCCCCCAGTGGGCCCCTTTTGAGAGCATTTAGTCTGGTGTCTGTGTTGCAAGTGGTGCTAAAAAAGATTTCGTATTAACATGCCATAAATCTTCCATGGTTTTGGAACAAAGTCGCGCAGAACACGTCCGTTTGTGATTGAGAGCATCGGCGTAACGTGTTGTTGGAGCGGTAACGGCGGTGTTGTTGGGTGCGTTTTGTGAGCCCCCGCACCGTTTCATGAGCCTGGTCTCGGCACCAGAATTCCGGGATTCGAATCGTCTCGGATAAATTAATCTGCTCTGAGTTGTTTACATAAAGCCTCCGATAGCTTCGTGATGCGTGTGTGTCCATGTGCATGCCATTCGTTTAGAGGCCAGAAGCAGCACAGTGGTAAGCAAAAATAACTACAAAATCTGGCTACCCGCCTTAAATTCCCACTCAACATCAGGGGCGGATATATGAACCAGTCCTTTCGCTCCTCTCGATCGACTCAGCCTTAAATGCATACAGTACCTGGTGTGGTGTGTAAACATCAGCTCTAGGGAGACACAGCCAGGCATGATGTTGGCCGCACTACCTCCTCATGTGCTGTGCTGTCCTTTAAAGGTGCTCGCTGAACAGGAATTTCCCCCAACAGTCGATATTGGTTACACGGAGATCTTTGTCTTACTCATGCTAACTATGAACGTACAAGAGCCGTGACATATTGCCAGTATTTATTCCATGGCCTTACACAGAAAGCACTACAGTTAGTCACAGATCACCACTTAGATATATTGAGCCCAAGGGAGAAGCACATATGTCCCTCTTAGCATGGTAAAACGTCTCCATGCGTCTTGTACAATATGCCTACTGCACATTATTGAAATCAAAATGTTCATTCTGGATCCTTTTTTTTTGGATATTCTGAAATTTTCTACGGGTGGGATTTAGGCACTGCGGATGATGAGTCATTGCTTGTTTGAAGAATCCACTGCACGGCATTCTCTTCCCACACCAGTGCCAGCTGATGATGACGTGCTGCGTGCAAGAGCTCACATGACTAAGCACGACTTAACAGCGCCAGTACCGTACAGGCAGCCCTACCGAAGCGTCAAAGTCAACAGCAGGGCAGTAGCCCTAGCT